GTCAACCCGGTTGGCGAAGAACAAGGGGGACCAACCAACAGGGTGCTCAACCCGGTTGGCAGAGGCGGGGTGATCAACCCTGGCCTCGATCACATCAACAGAGGCAGGGCGGCGGAGATGCGGAGCACCGGAGAGCCTCGAGTGACCAGGCGGGCAGACGAGACTCCACCCCACGAGGAGAAGCGGTTTCGACGGCGGCTGGAGAACCAGCTCGGCGCAAGCCACCTCGCCACGACCGTGGCCACCTGGACGGCCCAGGACGGCCAAGAGGCCATCCACTTCGTGTCCAGGGTGCGATGGAGGAACCAGCCCCGTCCAAACCCTTCCCAGCTGCCCGCCCAGATCCCGCAGCCCTTCCGAGGGCATACGCTGCCCCGTTTTTCGCTACCCGACGACCACCCAGACGCCTGCTGGCTGTGCCAAGTCCCGGTGGTCCACCAGGACACACACGAGGCCAGCCGCCGACACACTGACCTCCTGAAAAACATGGGCCGCCCCGCCGGCGTCGCAGCAGCAGTACAACTGCTTCGCCGGGATCGGCCAGACCTTCTAGCTCCGGCGGCTCTCGGCTTCAGCCAAGCTACTGGAAGCCGGAGTCCTGCCCCCGACCAACTGCTCGTTGACGGGTTCGTCGCCGAAAACCCGGCGCTCGGCCCCTTCCCCAAGCACACACCGGCCCCACCAGTGCCGGCCCCCCGTTCGACAACTGCGGCCCCATCCGCGTCCACCAACACCAGCGACGCGGAGATGAATGAGCTGGAGGAGTACTTGGCCAACAATCCAGCGACCCCTTGTGCTACCGACGGGCCAGATTCTTTCGTCGACGGAGCCGCCGCCGAAGACCCGGCACTCGGCCTCTTCCTCGAACACGCACCAGTCCCACCGGTGCCGGCACCCCGTTCAACGGCTGCGGCACCATCCGCGTCCACCACCACCAGCGACGCGGAGATGGGCGAGCTGGAAGAGTGCTTGGCGGACGGTCCATCGACTTAGGATGCTTCGGAACCCCCGGAGTGGGAGGCTTGAGGGGAGGGGAGTGTGGAGAACAATGAGCCTCACGGCACGCGGAAGGGCGGCGCCGAGAGCGGGGAAGAAGAAGAGAGGAGAGGCTCGTGGTCGGTGCGAGGCTGAGGTTCGAAGGACGGTGGGCCAACAGGACAGACGGTGCTGAGGAGCCTACAAAGAGCCGGACTTCACGAGCCAAGCAACCACCCGGACCTCAGCGAGCCCAGGAAAGACCCGGACAACACCGAGCACATGAGTATCAATTAAACCTTGCTTAATGATAGCGCTCCCTCGTATGACTTCCTTGGGGCGAATGGAACTCGGCCTGATCGGGCGATATTGATAGGCGACCCACAGAACATAGCTGCCACGGATTGGCTTTTACCCATGAACTTCCCGTCAACCATTCCATACGGTTTTTAGACCTCTCATTGGAGTTTCAACCTTCCCACGTGTGCTGGAGTTATGAACCCCGTTCATGTAAGGGGTTCCTTCCGTTTACCTCGGAGAATTCCAAAAAAGTAAAACGGGGGCTGGCCACCAAAGCTTTAGTCTCGGCGCTACAGAAGTCCTGCCCTCATAAGGTGGGGCGCTGCTTTCAAGAACAGCTGCGTCGACTCCAGGATTCTGGGTACTCGAGTACCCTCCTCGTACCGGTATGCGAAAAGCTTTGTAGGCAGGTGCGACAAAATCCTGAGAAGAATCAACCAACGCAAAAGAAGCCCCCAAAGCCTTTCGCAGTGGTCCCATATGTTCACGGCATTACCCATAGGTTAAAAAAGATCGCCGGCCGACAAGGCATCCACGTTGTGTGCTCCGCCCCCAACAAGGCGTACGCCATGTGCCGTAGGGTGAACCGGAAAACCGCCCAGAACGGGACGACGACCTGCGGCACTGCGCATCGAACACCCTACACCTTATGCGAAGGAGTTGTTTACAAGACCCCTATGTCATGTGGCAAAAGCTACATAGGACAAACAGGGAGGTGCATCAACGACCGCACCAGAGAACATGCAGCCTCTGTGACCGCACTAACGTCGGCGGGCCACCTTTCGGCACATTGTCGGGTCTGCAAATGTGCTCCTGATTTCACAAGCGTTACCGTCTTAGCAAAACACCGAAAGCAGCTTGGAAGGGAGCTCCTTGAGGCGTTGGCCATTGAGGAGGGGGAGGGAGAATGCGTGAGTGTTGCCTCCATTGCGCTCTTGCCCAAAGAAAAAATGTATCTGAGGAGAGCGGCACCTCGGATGAACCAAGTTGGGACCTAGTGACTCCAAGATCCGACCGAGTAAAACGAGGGTGACACCACCGGAAGTATAAAAGACTAAAAGAAGCAAGTTTTTCAAGATCCGAAAGTCTAAGAAGCGAAAAACTCCACGGATCTGTCTAAGCTCTTACTGAAGAAGAAGCTACCTTTTTAAGATGGGGAAAGTCGAAGAAGGGGAGAACTCCACGGTTCGTGAGGAGAAAAGAAAAGGAAGTTTACGTCTAAGCTCTTACTGAAGAAGATGAAGCTACCCGTTAAGGATTGAGTTGAGGAGAAGGAAGTTTATTAAAAGGGTTGATAGCCCAGCAGTTTGTTTCTTTCTCTCTTCGTCGCTTTTCATTACGTTCAGCTGGTAATCAGTAAGCATGGATAACCAACCGGCTCAGCTACAAGCCATCACCACATACACACATTATCCCATGCAAATTAATTACGATTACAGTAACAACTTTTCGCCAAGCCTGCACTCCATCTGACTGTCCGTGCTCCCTAGCTCCACCCTAATCGCTGTGGCCACTTTTAGAACTTTTATACCCCACCGGGGGGGAGGGGCAGAGCAACGCGACCGGCGGGACGAGCGACGGAGCGAATCGAGGGGCCGTGCTTTAGTGCTCTGCCCTGCCCGCACATCAAAAGTAGTCCTGAAGTGGCAACAGACAACGTCTCGGGAGCCGGCACGTCGTCAGGTGTTGCAATCCTGGCAGCTGGTGCCGTAAGTCCCGGCAAAAAGTAGAACCTAGTGCGTGTGTTGCCGTCGCACCGGGGCCCCGACTTTTGGCTGCTAAAGCTTCCGTGGACTGCCGAGCCGGAAGCGACCTGCAGCTGAACGGGCGCCAGCCACTTACACCGACGCTACTGCGATGCCACTAGGACCACGGCAGGTAACCGCACAATGCATCTATGACGTTGTAGAGCAAAAAACCTTCAGCCTTTCCACTCTCATGAAGAAGGAAGACCAGCGAAGCTGTAATATGTTGGAAATGAAGTATGTATAAATGTAAGGATTAAGATGTGATTGGGTAATTGGTTATGTGACAACCGTACTATCCCCGGTTGTCTTTGTTATACCATGTCAACCACCGAAGGCTCAAGAACGGGAGTCGAGGCGCCACTAGTTGTTCCTCCACCACGTTCAACCTCGGTAGGTGCTCCGGTATGGGTGGGTATTTGTAGCCGTTCATGGTCGCGAACCGGGGAACTGCGCCTTTGAGCAGGGAATCTCAGCACGTTCTGCCGGTTCTTTGTAGACGTCCGCCGACTGGATACACTGCCGCAACGCGCACACGTCTGTTTCCCGCTTTTCATCTGAAACGCCGCCAATCATGGATGCGTCTCCGGCGAACCAGAGCCAATTGCACACGGCGCACGTGACGCCACACGGGTTCTCCACGAACTTCCTCTGGAACCCTGCCGTCGCACCCGGGAACTGTTCGGCCGGCGTGGAGTGCTGTCGTCGCCGGACTTCGCGCTTGCACGTGGCCTCTGTGGCACAGTTGTCATCCGTGGCGTTGGCCCGCCGGCGCCGTTTGCATCGCTGGTTCTGGTCTCAACGGCGGCTTTCCAGGCGAGCAATGTGCCCTTCTTTCGCAGGGGAATCTGAAGCGGTGAACGCAGTGGAAGTCGAGGCGACAGCGGCTCTGTGTCTGTTGCGGACGCATTCGCGCTGCTGCGTACGTTGCCGCTCCTTCCGCGCCCAGTCTTTTTTTTCCCCAAAGGGCACGCGGCCAATCCATCCCGAGTTCAAACCAGAACTGATAAGAGCGCAAATCCGATGAGGACGAAGAAACACACGTGACGAGCGCTGCGCTTGTCTTGAGCGTTTCCTCTTCGTCCTCGACTGTTTTTTGCGCTGTTTCCTACGATGAATTCCCAGCAACGCACCCAAGTATCCATTATTCTATGATAGCTGGAAAGGTTGCCGCCATCTACGAGCGACGTCGGAAACCATACTGGTTGTGTGCTTGCCGCCGTCGCTTATAGATGGCGGTAGCTGTCCAGAAGTTTGTGTAGGTTTGTGTCGACATGATTTTGGTACCGGACACGATCCTGGGGAATCTAGCCCTTAACAGCTCCGCTGTAAAATCGAAGGACCACTTTTTACAACGCAGTAAATACGCTCCTTCCAAGCACCCTAATGAGGACACAGAGCACGGCGACATTGCAACACAATTCACCAGATAAAGTCTCGTCGGCAAGCGCCCGAGTGACCAGTGCCAAAGGCGCCTCTGCCGTCCAGACGGCGCAGCTGCGAGAGGAAGAGGCGAACGAAAACAAAGCATCTCCTTGCCGTAGCACCCGGGCGCACACACTTTTTGCTCGGCACGTCTGCTCCAAGCGCGAGAGGGCGCCCTCTTGAACACCGTGCCTGGGATTCCTCCGTTCGAGCTGTCGCAAAACTGCTCTTGCTGCCGTCGAGGCATAGAGCTAGGATCGATGATGAAGCTGTATCTAAGGGACGCGCATAATGCAAGCACCAACTGCTAAAGGATGCGGCACACGAGGAAAGACAACTTCAAGTTGGTGTGTCTCCCGTACAGAAGCACGAAAAACTAGGCTACCACTGTCCACCGATCCGAGTGTCATCTCGTGGCATCGCCTGCAATAGACGCATGGAAAGCAATTCATCCGACCGCTGGAACGAGTGCAGAGTCCAGACATGTACATATCTTACACTGTGGTTCAGGGCCAAGGCCTTCAACAGAGGCGCGGACTACAGAACCTTACTTACGTAGTCCGAAATATAGGACATTGATCTTGTATGCCAGCTTGAAGATTGTTTCGTTTTCGCAGTGGTTCTGCAGGGACACAATCCTGTCCAGGCCTGGAAGAAAGCAACGAGTCCTGCTTAGTGAAAAATCTAAGCGCTTTGCGACGAAAAAGAAGAGAAAAAGTTTAGTAACGCTGCAAACATTTAGACTAACCACCCAATGCTTCAAAAGGTTTTTGTGTTTAGTTCTACAGTCAATCCCGACTATATAGAGCCCGTTTACATTGAATTATTCCTTATATCAAACAATTTTTGTGCACAGTAATGTTACAGCAATAATATATAGCAAAAACTATGGTTACATCAAACAAAAATAGCAACCGCTACCGATATATCAACCGCCAAGACTGCCGTTTTGCTCTGAAAGCTGGCTTTACCCCAATGCGAGTGAGCGGCTGCATTGGGGGAAAACCAGCTTGCAAAACACGCTGTTTTCTTTTGTTTTTGTTTCTTGAGGAACCGCATTGATTACCCGGAAGAAAAAAAAAAATCCCTTTTACGGAGGGAGCAGGTAGAGGGTACTCTGTGCTCCCTCTCCCCGCTCCGTTGGCTTTCCCCTAAGACAGGCAGTTGACGTGGCTGCTCGGAAGAAAAAATATTGCGCTGGCTTAGCTCGGCTATGCCAGGATAGATATAGCGTGAGCTTATGCGCACAAAATGAGAGGCGCTATCAAGCGGCGTCAGCTTGGCTACTGCGCGACGGAGGCGCACAGCCGGGCACGCGGCGGCGCCAGTGCGTCTGCCGCGGCTATGACGTCACTCCTCAGGAATGCGCAGACCGGCGAGGCACGCACGGGGGCGGCGGAGTGCGCGGCGGCGGCGGCTCCGGCACGCCAGCTGTGTGCCGTGTGACGTCACTGCTCTTGGCGCATGTGCAGCACGGCTCTTTGGGAGCCACGCAAAACCGCTCAACCTCGGCCAGTGTAGCTCACGCTACAAAAAGCCAGCTTGCTCTGCTAGCTGACTTTCCCCCAACGAAGCAGCCTGTCTTAGGGGAAAGCCAATTTGCAGTTCAAAACGGCGCTCTGCAGGAGAAGGTGCTCCTACTCCGACGTGCTCCGTGCTCTCGGCACAGTTCGGCGCTAATGCGCGAATATAGAAGGCAGTGGCCTCACCATTTTGGAGTCCGTCGATAGCGTAGAAAAATATCGTTATCGCAAATGCAATGAAGAAAAAGCAGTAGGAGATGCAAGACTATTTCATTGTGTAATAGTATGTCAGCAGAAAGTGGATTTTGAGAGTCAAATTAATTAAAACTAATATATCGAATTACACAATATATCGAACTAATTCCCGCTTTTTTGTGAGTTTGATATATGCCGTATCATGAGACACTATAACAGGGGAGGCCAGATGGACATATTCAAATAGCCACAAAAAGAAAACATTTTCAGTAAAGAGCTGCAATAAAAAAATTGTGGAGCCCATCCACTTCACGTGAACCTCGAGTATGATTCCTAGAGGACGACGTCTAGGAAGACCTCGGGGACAATGCCTAAAGGACGACTTCTAGGACAACCTCAAGAACGACGTCTAGACGACCTCAAGGACGACCTCGAGGACGATTTCGAGGGCGACGCCTAGGACGACCTATCAGATGACTTCTAGGACGACCTTGAGGACGAAGTTTGCGAGCTGCGGTTTGGCCACCCCTGCACAATACAATGCCTAAGGCATTACCATAGATAGTTCAAACGAACACCTGGATAAGAAGGATCCACAAAGTAAAGAACACCACACAGAATGTGTGACATCCCACAGGACAACACGCTCACACTACATGTGAAACTACCCCATGCTCCCTTTTACAGCCTGTTATCTCAACCCGTTCAGTGAAGGGAGCCTGTCAAAAGTAGTGCGAAGAGCCGCGGTATGTCTCAACACGTGATGTTTTGCGCCTGCCAGGGATAACACAGAGGCACCCAAGGAGGGCGTTTGCCTAGCACTGGTGTCCGATCAATCAGTGAGGAGACGGGCACTGTGCCAGCGTTCGGCTGGCAGTCGGCCTCTCGACTTCTGCTGCTGGCACTGGACAAGGTGGCAGCCGTACGACACATTCTGTGCTAAAAAGAAACAAACAAACACTTGCAAGTCAGCGAGGCACGTGTGTGCTCACCCCCGCACTCCTCGATGCTGCTGGCGATGGAAGAGAGCTGGGTGCCGGCGATTTCGAGGATGCTGTTGAGGCTTTCCAGCACCGTCTGGTTCAGCTCGGGGTTCTCCCCAACCGTGAGGAGGTCGCACAGAGGGGCCACTGCACCCTGCTCCACCAGGTACAACACCTGGGACCTGGCGCCACGGGTGGACAAGTTCTCGATGGCCTGGGCGGCAGCCTGCCGCGTTTTGAACTCGCCCTGCAAGCACGCACGAAGCGAGAGGGAACTGTGCGAGCCCCAAAGTCCCACAACCCCATTCCTACAATCGCTGCTGTTTTCCAGAGCGTTTCGGAAAGGTAGTGACTATTTCGACGTCCACATTGAAAACATACTAAATATTATTTTGACGCCCGTCCGTGATGCCACCTCCTAAAGACACAAACATATTTTCAATATCATTTTTCATATATTTTCAATACTTGTTTCCCCTTATTTCGACATCTCACACTTGGAAGCTTCAGAGTTCAGACTGGAAAGTGACCGAAAGTGGCGGTCAAACAGATATCATCTCACTTGCAGGCTGCGTTGCTGTTCAACACACATTTTTCGAAAACCTCAAGGTACACCATTTCAGCTATCACGCCATACGCAACGTTTGCTTGCTTGCGCCCAACATTACAGAATGCGGCACCACTGTTTTTTTATGATTTATTTCATGTTTTATATATAGACAAAAGAGGCAAATGTCGCACCATCAATTTTGCACTTGATTGAAAGATGCGTGTATCTTGTACAACCGCGGCAGAACCATTCCCACAGGTATAAGAACATCAAGGAGGCAATGTTTGGACGCACTGTTTGCATTCAGTCCAGGGTTGGGCAGAAATACTCTAAAATGTATTTGGAAATACAAATACTGAGATACATTAAAATAGTAGCTAAAATACTGATACTAAAATATATCTGTAAAAATGTATCGCGATACGTTTCGGAAATACATTTTAAATAGAGGCAAAAAGTATTTGGAAATACAAATACAGGGATACATGTTAGGAAGGGCAGAAATACAAATACAGAAATACTGATACTGCAATACATTTTTCAAATTTGTTTGAGACGCCAACTGAGAAGAAGCTTGAAGTTTGAAGTAGAAGTTTTTGATCCCGAAATAATTTTCCCGTAGGCTTGGCACTATGCCTTGAATGTGGTGGTTTCGGACGGCGAAAAGTTTTTAATGGGCTTAAAAAAACGTTCCATCAAAGACTGACCGCGGACCCTTCCCTGCCATCTTGTCTGTCTGACGAGGGATGCGAAAAGATTTCGACCTCTAAATAAATTCGATGTTACCCTAAATCCCATCAAAATGTCACAACGCCCCTGTCCAATAAGGATGCCCCTCTGAACATTCATCACATATCACGTCACGGTGGAATGAACTGGTGTTCTTTATCTGTAGTTGTGACCTTGAACATGAAACTTTACCTCGCTGCTATATGACAGGACAATACACTTTCGTTGTATGTTACCTCGTTGAAGATCGTGCAGGCAGTGTATTTGAAATTTTCGAGAATAGTGGACCACCTGAAGCACCCTGGAACACATGTCTTATCGTCTGTTACGGTTGAAAAAACTATATGGTGGCATCCCTGTTGTAAAGGTCTTTCTGCCGACCCTCCGCCACCCGACGCATGAAAATCAATCCTCAAGTCTCGCCCAGCATCATCCAAACAGAGACCTCGTGGACGGCGGCCTGATATTGCCGGTACAGGTGCGAGCTCTCCGAGAAACAGCGCGCTCGAGACGAGTCGCAGGGTACAAAGTCTGGGTCGGCACTGCGAGGCCACGTCTGGCCTCCTTCCTGGGTTTCGGATCACCAAAACAGCGGGTCACGTTCACGTCGACTGATGACGTACCCTTGAGTCGTGCAATATTACGGGCGCAGCCGCAGACGCATTCGAATATGTATTGAACTTTACTGCGCGAGTCATCCTATTATTTCAAGCCAACTACCGCCAGGCTCGTGCTGCAATGAACTGTGACTCAGCTTTGCCGGCTGGGTGTACTGTGTATGCTAAGGCAAGAGAGACGGTTAGCAGCGGGCCTTGGATGCCAGGAAACAATGACTCAAGAAATCCCTACCTAAGGAATTGCGGCAGACGATGCTCTGACTCCCCTCCTAACACGCCACCTGGTTCGAGTCCCCGACTACGCAACACTTCTCAGAAGAGAGAATAGGACGCATAGAAAAATAGTTTGGAGAATCGAAAGGAACCTTGGTCAGCATAATAACAATGCCCCAGTATCACCTTCAACCTGGTGCCCTCAGAAGTAAAAAAAAAAAAAAAGTGTTCAGACTTTTTTTTGGGGGGGGGTGGGGGGGGGGGGGGGGGAAGGGGGAGGGGGTATTTCTCAAGAAATGTCACGAAATACATTTTATTCTGATTGTATCGCGCTACAAAGAAACATACCAAATGTATTTCGATACAGAAATACAGATACGAAATGTATTTCTGAAATACTATCGCGATACATTTGTATCGCGATACTGCCCAACCCCGGCATTCACAACCTTTTGTTTAAAGATGCACTAAAGTGCTTTTTGAAGAAATTATTTTTGGTGTTACATTGTTTAATAGGTGTAAGTTAACAGCTGGGTGGTTTCATTTAAAACCGAAAACGCTTGTCGGGGGGGGGGGGTCTTTAAATTTTCCGTTTTTTAATATCCGCGACTCCAGCAAAACGAACGCCACCAAGCGGGAAAACCGGGAACCAGCCGGTCCAGGTCGCTCCGTGCCCCTCCGCGTCTCTGGTGGCTTTCGCGGACACATGTTGTCGGCGCGATGGCGAACCGTGTAATTTCACGAAGGTCCGAAAATTTCTGAAGTTTGCCTGAGTGTTCATTAGTATGGCGGAGCCTCAGTAGATTGTTTCCTTCCATCACGTGTTTTCGATTTCTTGGATGGGGAGGATTCGCGGAAAAAACGTTTTGATTTCTTGTCTGTCTCGAATCGCATTCAAAGTGACGACTACTGGGTAACTGATAAGGGGTTTCTTTATAAGGATGTAGAACAGTGGGAGGACGACGGACGAGGCATTTCACTGGAGGGAACACCAATGCTGCAGTAAAGTGAATGGGAAGGTTCGATAGCTGATTTTCTTGAGTTTGGTTGTATTCGGTTAGCTTCAAGTTTGAGCCACCCACGCCGGTCTATTTGGCTATTCATCTTGGCTGCTTTTCGCCGAAAAATCCTCTGGACCACACCGAAGGAGTTGGGCTGACTTCGCAATTGCTTGATTCAGAAAAACCTGCTCGCTGCAAATGATGAATGAGGGAAATTATCTGTTTTCAAAAGGTGGGGCACGCGTCTGGCAACGTTAGAAACTGTCATGGTATTATGATCTATCGCACCTCCAATATTTATATTATACACCCGTCGAATTAAGCCAGCAGCAATATACGTCTACATTGCTCAGGCTGACCGGCCACAAAAATACTAATTTTTTCCGTTCAGGATTCGAAGTCAAGTTCAATGCAGAGAGGTTCTGCGTGAATCTCCAATGAAGACTCTCTTCAGTTTGTCCGCATTCATCTCCGTGCTACCGGCTAGAACCATTAGGCTAAGTTTAACTTAGTATCTCTCTGTCTGTCAAATATACTTTTATTCAGCAGTTCACCTAATAGCTAGTTAACTAAGCTCATATTTCAAACCGAAGAATATACTAATATCGCTTTGGTGGGACCATAGTACGTAATATAATACATAACCCGCTCGTCAAAATGACTTTTCGAATGCTACTAAAACCTGGATTGAAATACGAGTATCAGCTGCTTAGTGGGGTGCCGGTGGGTTAACATGGTCCTTGGCTCAAGAAGCGCTTGCTTAATTTTCGTAATTTTCCTTCAGCCTGTGTTGTTGACCGAGCAGACGACTGAAGCTGTTTCTTAAACGCGGATACTCACAAAAGCTAGATTTCGCGGAAAGATAAGTCGCATGGTCGAGGCATGCGAGTTGGCTGAAAGTTACTGTCGGGTGGAGAATTCTGCAGTCATTGGCCGCTTTCCTTAGATGATCAAAACTAATTAGAGTCTACTACCGTCTCTCCAGAGCCCGTAATTTCAGTTTCGAATGAAATCTTTGAAACGAAAGTTTGACACGAAAAGAACAAAAAAACACTTGGAAAACAAAACTATGCTCTGCAAGTTTATGTGCACCGGCTACACCTAACCGTCTCAGTTCAAATACCTATAAAATTGGGCATTAAACAAAAGTAAATCTGTTAACTTCGACGCGCCACCTGTTCAGGCGGCCCGGCCGAGCCGATGCGACCTGGACTCAGCCGCCATGTTTGTTTGGTGGTGGCGCCCCCTATAGGTCGCTGGAGTCGCGAATATGTAATTGCTTCGTGTCTGCAAAAAGTAAAAAAACAAAACCGCTTTTCGAAAAAAAAATTTAATTTTTTTTTCTTTCGCAGAAAAAAATTAAGTGGAGCAGGGGGTGATAATCTGTTTTTTACTGTAATTTTTCTACCCAGCTCGTCATGGGCACGTTACCAGTAAAATGTAACAGTTACAGTTACAGGTTGTGGGGATTGTGATCCCTCAACATTCTGTCGCGTCAGCGTTTTGGCGCGCCGTGGCGGCCGCGCTGGCGTAGCGAGAGGCGGCGCTGCTTACCACTGTGAGTGGCTTCCTCCTCTCCCCCTTTGGGGCGATTTCCGTAACGAACCCCCGCACAAAGGAGATCGACGTGTCGCTCCTTGATTGGCCACTTCGCCCCCGCCGTTATCTTAAAACCAGCGGACAGCGGTCTCGCTGGCAGTGTTGTCAGATGTAGGGACATGTCCCTACTCGTAGGGACATTCGCGGTTTTTTTTACGCTGTAGGGACGTAGGGACGGTTTTTGAGTTTTCGAGGAGTTTGTAGGGACTTTGTGTGACAACCTTCGATTTTTTTTTTTTTTTTGTGGGGCGGGGGAGGGAGGTGGGATGGCGAGTGGCGCTTGTGCTCGCTCGAGTTACGGTAGTCCAAATGTTGCCCTCGGCTGAAGCGTTCTTTGAGGGGCCCGGCTGGCGAAGTCGCCTGTCGTCTTGATTATTGTCTTGGTTTGAGCCTATCGTCTTTATTTTATCTGCCTCGTGCGATGTGTTGTTGAGCTCAGCTGGGCGAATACCTCTGGCATCAGATTGCGCCAACCAACGAATTGTGGAGCGAACCGTCCCTGAATAAAAGCGGATAAGTCATTTTTCTCGACATTTTATATCAATGTTGTCTTTTGTATGTTACATATGTCACTACCGCAAAAACTAAAAAAGCTGGCAAAAATAAATTCTCCGTCATCCACACTTGTAGAATGGTTTGGGAGCAAGTCGGGCCCTGCAAAGGCAGGGCCCGGATTAATGTACGGGCTAAGGGGTCTGCAGCCGAGGGCCCCAGGCTGCCAGGGGGCTCCGTGGTATGTTATGCAATAAACACAAAATTCGTTGTTATACTGAATACCTGGAATACCTGGATTGACTTCTATTTTTTTTTTTTTTTTGTTCTTTTACATACTCTAAACGACTTAATTTTCGCGAAGACCTAATTTTCGCGAACCGCTTACAATTCGCAAAAAATAAATCGGGCGAACGATTCCGGTAAAATGTAAACAAAATGAAATCTATATTGAGATCCCACCGCGTCGCAAAAATTAGAACCCGCGAATTATTCCAAAACTCCAGCTTTGACCTAAATACAAAATTCAATCGCGTGTTTGTAAAAAAAAAAAAAAAGAAAAGGGAAAAGCTAACTAATCAGTTGCAACGCGCTCACGGAGAGGTGCAGAAGGCAGGCTCGCTCAAATAAGCAAAATAAATAAAATACGGCTTTTTTTTTCACCTGTAGGGACAGCCATAGGGACATTTGCACACTCGGGTAGGGACACAGAGGGACTTTTTGGCCTGCACGTGGGGACTTTCGGGTTCGGCAATCTGACAACACTGCTCGCTGGGCTCTTCTTCCTGGGATTCGGCGGCGGCGACAACGGGGACCCTTCCGGCGCACCGGTGAGCGTTTACCCCGTACTTTGTACCTATGTGAACGACCGTTCGGCCGTGGGCGATCTCCACACCGACGGCGTTCACCAGCTTATAGTCGCTGTTTTGTTGTTATTTTGTTTCTTTGTAAATAAACAGTTTATCACCGTTACCAACGTGACTGGTGTCTGTTTGCGCTCAACGAGCAGCATGCCACGCGAGTACGAACCCGCTTCGCGGTAGAGCGTCTCGCCGCGAACGTGGAATTCCCAAAGGCAGTGGCCCCAAGGAGAACCACAAGGTTTCTAAAAGTAACATATTACAGTTACAGTTACTGCAAAGACAGTAGCGCCGTTACTTTCTCGTTACAGCACAAAAATTGGACACAAGAAATCACAAACCAAAACAATATTATTTTATTTGTTGCATTATAGTGAGAAGAAAGGTAAACTGAGAAATTAAAAAAGTTTGAACCCGAAGGGTCTAAAGTTTTTCTCATTTTCCATCATTCGCCGTTTCAGATATTTGATGAGCATAATTTAGTTGCAATAATTGTTACAACTTAGAATCAACTGTTCTTCAAAATAGTCCTTGGCCTGCGTCAGTGAACGTTTTCGTTTATTTTTTTTACTCCGAAACGAATGAGTACACAGATGGTCAGATAATTACCTCATGGGATATAGTCGGAAGCAGGCCTAAACATAGCAGGTCTAACAGCTTCGAAAGAATATAGGGGGAAGGGAGTGAGGCCTTGTGGTGCTCTATGAGTGTTTGATAACCACCGCGGCGTCAGTGTCCGAAACGCCAACTGTGGAAGACCAGTTCACATACCCGCATCAAAAAGAGTTGTTTCTCTCACTTGGAACACAAGTTTTCCGGGAAATCACTTCAGCTGGAGCACTGCATAGGTTCCACAACAAAGGGTCCTTCCATTTGGGTGTTTCTTGAGGTTACCAACGAAAAAGGCAATTACACTCGAGCCTGCCATCATGTTTACTCAAGTGGCTTTGAAGAGAATAAATAAGTTAAACAAGCGCCGGCTTTCTGCACAGTATGGGGAGAGCTTCCTTGAAAACTAATAGGGAAGAGAAACGGCGACCGGCTGGGTGTAAAAACGACACCATGGACATATCCGACAAAGGGTAAGGAAGAGGGGGAGGGAGAGTGGTGAGGGGGGTGCAGGCACAGCCCAGACAGGATACTCGGAGACATGTCGCACAACCACCAACACCCGCAGATGATCCCCACAACACAAGAGTGAAGTCGGTGAAACAGACATGGTTTGCCGCACCTACCACCGCGGGCGCCGCGTCCTCTATCTCCCGGTTTCGTGCTGACTCGTCCGCCGTGGGCTAAACCAGGCAATTTTTTTGTTTGTTTAATGTGTGGCCAGACTTCTGTTTCTTTGTCAGTGAGGAGTTTCACAAAAATACTTCAAGTTGGCAATTTCACCATGTCAGTGATGTGATTGGCCTAAGCCATTTTGGAGCACCTTTCGAAACAGACAAAACAGTGTCTTTTGAGCAGCAAAAGTGGCTTTTGGAGCGGCCAAGACAGTGTTTCGGAGCAGCAAAAGTGGCTTGTGGAGCAGATATTCTTAGAGAAATAAAACTATTTGTTTAAAGTGCTGTACAAACAAAGGGTACTTCGTGTTGTGTTGCGTTCTGATGTGACATTTTTTGACAGGACTCGCTGCTTGTGTTTTTACTGCTGAGACATCCCACAAGTGTACAGTGTTGCAGGCATTGCCGAGCAATTCCAAGAAACCGCTTGCCATCGTTTTACTGGTTCCTGACGTGCCAGATTTTCGTCAAAAGTAAGCAAACATAATACAATGCATTGCAAGCGTCCCGGCTGGTGCCTCTGTCGTGCGATCATGTTTGCATGCACGTGAGGGCAACTTCGGTAGGCTTGCAGTTGCGCGCGCTTCGTCGCGCGAGCGGAAACAACGGCTGTTCGATTGAAACCGAAACCATGCCACTCCGCTCCGTCGCCATCTGATTCCCAAAACTGTATGCAAAATGTAAGTGTCAAGCATATGAAGGCCAGAAGATTGGGGTTCATATTCTTTTCTATTTTTAATATCAAATGTGTGTTTTAAATGACCCACAACTTTGAATATATTTGGTACACATAGTTTGAACGTCACATGACCATAAAAAAGAGAGCGAGCGTGACTGAAACCAGTCAATTCTCGACCGGCCGTTGACAGGCGGAAAGAAAATGAATTTCGAGCCGCAAATTGTGATCTGGGTTGTTGGGCTCTTTAAGTCATGTTCAAATAAAAACTTCAGCGAGCATAAATATCCTGTCAGTCTCCCTTTAAGAATGAGTCGTGTGGGCAGCCTATTCGTAACTACCGAAAGCTCCCTGCAAGCAAGCATAGCATAGCGTCTCTGTCTAAGGCCTTCGTCGACATTGTTGCTGTTGGAGCCCCTTCACGAGCGAAAACTGACCCACGGCGACCCTCACCTTTTTGAGGCAGTGGATGATCATCGGAATAAGTGCTTCATCGATGACCGCCTGCATCTGCTGGTGGTCGCCTGCTAAGATGTTGGACAGGAAACGGACTGCCTCCTGGGGACAGGTGAAGCAAACCGGTGCTTTTAGCAACAGCAGCTACAAATTGAACTCTTTTCCCATCTCAAAACCATTGCCCCTACTACCAACTGCCAGGCTAAAAAAGAAAAAAAAATGTTAACCACTGCGTCTCAAATATTCAGGAGCTACTTTGTTCTACCCACACCATTTCAACTTGTACTATTTGAGCGTGCTGGTGCTTTTTAAACATTTAGAATGTAGAGACACACAGGGGACGATACAGACAGGACAACTTCAACAACATTTAATTTTCGCCTTCAAGCCCAAAGCCCGCCCGCTCCTTGGGAGTGCGGAAAAGGGAAATCTTAGGGGAAGGAGAGGAGGTGGAGGAAGTGAGGAGGTTGCCAAACGAGGAAGGGAGAGGAAGGAAGGGGGCTTGAAGACTGGATGTGCGGGATAACGGAATGAAAGGAAAGGCCGTTTCTGCCGGTGACCTTGTCGCCTCGTCTAGTCTGTCAGCGATCGGCTTCCATTGTGGGCTTTAGAGAGAAAATCTCCTTTCATGAAAATAAAAGCGAAATGGGAGGGGTTCTTATGGTATTCGGGCTTTTCGCCATCCGATAGGCCTCAATTATTTCTCTCCCGACTCGCTTGCTGTGGCCTCCCATGGCTGTCGTGCCGGCGAAATTAGGAGCGCAGCCGGGACATTTTCTCCCGTGATTGAGGATCGGTGCTGAGAATCCGAGGCAGCTCTTTCGGCGTTTATTTAATGTTCTCGGAGTCGGTCGTTGACGCATTGCCCCGTTTGCCCGATGTACCTGGCTTCGCAGGACAGGGGTATCGCATACACTTTCTCCGTCATGCAGGCGGTGAACTTGCATGCGTGCTTTTTGGTGCAGCTGGGTTGTGGGGGTCCCTCTCTGTTGACGGCCCTACACATGTTGCCGAGTCTCAATTTGCACGTGAAGAGCACTTTTCTGTCATATTCTGAGGCGATAGCTTTTAGGCGGTGAGATGTTGTGTGGATGTAGGGAATGCAGGCTGGTCTTCTGGAGACGGGTGTGGTCTCGGCGGCTGGCTTGGTTCGGGGGTTTGTAGCCAATTTTTGGGTTGAAGTTGTTGAAGTTGAAAGATTGTCCTGTCTGTATTGTCCCCTATGTGTCTCCACTTTCTAAATGTTTAAAAACCATTTGAACCATTCAAATTCGGCCTACAGAAAACATGTATGCATTCGCACATTTAAGAGAGGAAAACCAAATCATGACAGAGGCAAGACAGCCAGCGAGTTCCGAATCGTGCAGTTCCCGCTCACCTCACGGATACCCTCATCGAGGTGCGTGAGGAGAGTGGGGAAGTGCGTGAGGGTGTCGCACTCTAGGAGCACCTCCGCCTGATCGTCCCTGCCCGCCGAAATGGCGACCACCGCCAACAACGCTGGCCTCTGAAAAACACGCACAAGTGCATAAGTATTCATCCTTTTTACACTGGCCAAAATTAAACAGAATAAGCCACTAAAAAAACACACACATCTTAGATGCACCAAGCAATGACAACATAAAAGTCACTCTCTTGCCGTACTCGCTTGGCAAAGGTAGCGTTAACACGAAATGTGATGTATTAATATGGAGAAATTGATTACACATATGGAGACTGGATCGCCTGAAATGGCCCTGTGTCGTGCAAGGTAAGTGCGTGAGTGCTTTGTGGATATCTTTCTTCTGGGGGCCATCTTCCGCGGTTGCAACGTTAAAGGCCTGTTCATGCAGTGCCGTTTTCTTCTGCTACATTACTTTACGGGAGCTTGCGTCTGGTTACGACGAGTCATCGGGAGACCTGTACTTCGTATGAAGCCCGGCAGCTTTGCACCAGACATTCAAAGCACGGATGTCTAGACAACTCATCACATAAATCAAGAGACCATGGCTAACGCACCAGTGGAAAAGGGCCTTAAACGCGACCTTCTAGGAGCCTGCTGGAATGTGAGACGCAGTAGACAGAGCTTACGAAAAAGAGAATGAATGGAACGCAGCACCTCGGAGCAGAGCCCTGGCACCTGCTCGCTGACAGAGAAAACCAGATGCTCAAATTATCTGAACTCATTCTGGCAAAAGAGTCTGCTTTCTTTTTTACAGCAAAGCTGTTAAGGGCAAGGTTCACCAGGATCGTGTCCATGTATGTCGACACAAACCTACCTGGACAGCTACCGCCATCTATAAGAAACGGCGGCAAGCACACCACCAGTATGGTTTCCGCCATCGCTCGTAGATGACGGCAACCTTTCCAGCTATAATAGAAGAATGAATAGTTTGGGTGCGTTGGTGGGAAATCATCGTAGGAAACCGGGAAAAAAATAGACGACGACGAAGAAGAAGCCAAAGAGCACATTGCTCGCCTGAAAAGCCGCCGCCGAGAACAGAACAAGCGTTGCCAAGAGTGCCGGCGGGCCAACGCCACGGACGACGATCGTGCCAAGGAGGCGAAGCGCAAGCGCGAGGCCTGGCGAAGACTGCACTCCACGCCGGCTGAACAGTTCCCGGGTGCCATGGCGAGGTTCCGGAGGGAGTTTGTGGAGAACTCGCTTGGCGTCAAGTGCGCCGTGTGCGACGGACTCTGGTTCGCCGGAGACATATCCACGATCGGCAGCGTGTCGGACAAGAAGAAGCGGGAAATGGGCGCGTGCGCGTTGCGGCAGTGTATCAAGTACAGCTCCGCTGGTCTTTTTTTTTCAAGAAAGTGGAAAGACAGAATACAGAATGTTTTTCTCTCTCCTTTTCCGTTGCTTTTTCTTGCGCTCTTTCTCCGGGGCAAGCTTGGAGCGCACTCGTTTCACGGAGCAGAGCGCCGCTGCAGGTCTGAACACACGTCGTTTCTCCCTGCCAGGAGTTGCACGGAGGCCCTCAAAGAAGGGGTTCGGCCGGCATCGGTGTCCGATCAGTGCATCGGCATTCGGCCACCAGTCAAACTGTCGACTTCCGTTGCCGGCCCCTAACTGGATAGGGTTAGGTGCCAGCCACGTAACACATTCTGTGTTAGAAAGTAAACAGTGAAGAAGATAGAACCTGGGTTGCAGGGTTATCACTCACTCCCAATCCTCCTTTAGTCTCCAAGGGGACAAGAACATCAAGGCGTCTCTTTCAGACCGCCGGCCTCGAGCACGGGCTCGTCAACTTTCGTCCTGCCTTGGACGCGCGTGCATGCTTGAGGCTCACAAGGTGCCGGTGTGTCGTCGACGATGGAAAGCTCACGGTGGAGGCGGGACAGCTCAAGGACCTCCCTACCATTCTCATTCTAGCGGTGACTACAGAGGCAAATTAAAACGCTTTATAAAACAATATTAACGAGAATTCCCGTTTCAGACAACAAGCAGCACTTGACACGTCCCGGCAAAGGGTAGAGGACCGTCTGCTGGGCCTTCCATCCAGCAAAGGACTCAAAAACGATTCCTGGGTTTACAGAAAGGATTTAGAAGATGTATTTGTGAAAAATTATGGGTCGTCTACACTCCATTTCACCTCACGAAGGACCGTGGCGGATGCTCGATCCCGAGCTGTGCGAGCGTCGTGCGACCTTCGGGAGGGGCACGGTGACGTGCGAGGCACGCAGTCGCGCGACACCTTTGCAACACAGGGTCGGCTGGGATCGCTCATGGCATCCGCCGTGGTCCGTCGCAAGACAAAACGGAGCGGACACTGCGGCCTTCGTCGGATCGCGAGCGTTTAGGCGGAAATTTTGACCCCACGACGCAGGCACCTGCAGGCCGGCACGATGCGTGCCTTTACGTGGCCGAGACCGCTAAGGTCGGGGTGACGCGCAGAGAACCGGGAGAGTGGAGGACTGGGTGGGAGCCTTACCAGCACCTCGACCTCCTTGTGACTGAGCAGGGACACCAAGTGTGGGACCACCCCGGAGTCAATGATGCACTGGATCCGGTCGTCATCGCCGTAGGCAATGTACTTCAGCGCACACGCCGTTTCCTGCAGGATCTGTAAAAACACACAAGTCAAACTCGGAGTGCGTCGCAAAATTAGTCGTCGAGGGAAGAGCTAAAAGGCCGGGCCGTCGGCGGTTGACGAGCATTAGACGGCGGAGTATACAAAGGGAAATGTCCTGTTTCTCCCGGAAAGAAAAAAGTCCGCCCCCGTGACAGGTGTCAGAAAGTAGTGAAACGTAAGCTTGTGGAAACTCATTGTCTTGTCTGAACTCAAGCACCCAAGGCTCACACTCAACAGAAAACACTGTCTCAAAAAGAGAAGTTTAGGCAACAACACACCAAGTCGGTGGTTGATACGGACAAAAACAAATTACGGAGCTCAAATTTATGCAAAGCATCTTGGAATTACACGTCTTGCAAACAAGTCTGGCATCATGCTGACGCAAGGGTAAGTAGTGCACTGTGGTTCCCCAGACAAGACTGAACAAGGTCCCATGGAGGGGTTTCATATAAAGCTATTGCCTTCAAAGGGCAACTCCACTTCATCCTTGTTTTTAAAAAACGATGCAGTCTTCTTTATTATTACCTAGGAAGACCACGCGTCAAATGTTACTCTTTAGTTGTGTCTAAATGTTTCTTAAATGGTCTGGCAAACTTTGCGACGTGCCAGGTTGCCGAAATCAGCCAATTCTAGTGGGTGAATTGAGGCGCAGCCAACAGCGCAGTCAAGGCTACGGCGTTGGCATAGCCAACGTTTAGCTCAATGTCATCACCATTGCCCCTTTTTGCTTGTTTTGACTTCTCCGGGCAAGCCTAATGGGTGATGTCAGCAACGTTTCCTCTCGGCGCTCAGCAGTGTCCATGTGATTGGCATAACGCGCTTGCGCAGCGCGCTTCTTGGGAGCCGTCCCGCCGAAACTGCCGTCGTCATCTCACCATTTGCGATTATTGTCTCTTGAAGATTTGTTCACACTACACGCAGACTGATTCCACGGTTATGCAGACATCATCGAATGTTGTAGACACCAAAATGTGGTCAAGAGTGCGGTGCAGACGACACTTGCGCCTGGCACATGCCCGCCCTAATTACGCCCATCGTTGCATAGAGGATCGCGTGACATCCCTTACCATGTGATAGCGATGTCTTTGGCAACCCGAGGCCAACGTTGCTAGACGGAGCCAAAGTATCGGTTTTGATTTCTGCTCATGTTTAAAGTAAGATTTAACTATATCCAAATTCTCACGAAGCAAATGACGTAGTGCTTTTTACAGCGAAGCTGTTTACAGCTAGGGTTTCGTGGATCTTTCGTGTGCAGCGACTAAAAACTCTACGCTCGTACCCCCCCACGCACAGCACGCACACGCCTTCCCCGTATAGAAGATTCAAAGTAAATAACCAAAATAAAGCGTTGAAGAATGCACATGCAAGATGCCATTTGTTTTAGGCTTTTGATTTAGAACAGTTCCTGCTGCAGACACCGGCACGTGCAGAGCGTGGAGCACCATTCCCTGCATTCTCCTTGATGCTTGGGAAATTCAGCAATAGGTCTATTCAGTAGATTAGTTATCAGTAGGCACCCTTTTCAATATCAGTAGACTCTCAGGTAGATGATAAAGGTTTCTCAAAGATTTGCTGCTGTGCGACCAGCGTCGGCCATGTCTACGCTCGCACCGCCCTATCTTTGTCGTTGTTCCATGGGCTTGCGTGCCTAGTTTCCTTTTGACTTAAAACGAAAGAAACACACAAGAGGACGAAACAGACGACTGTCTGTTTCGTCCTCCTGTGTCGTCTGTTTCGTCCTCTTGTGTGTTTCTTTCGTTTTAAGTCAAAGTAGATCACCAACACGCTCAAGTATTTAATTAAGTTTCCTTTCCTGCCACTCTCCCGGGGTGGCGGTCCCGTCGCACGTGTCTAGTTTCCTCCGGCTCCTCAGGGCGGGTCTGTCTCGTCTGCTAAACAGTTTCGCTGGTCATCCACCTTAACAGAGTGGAATTGCTCATAACTTTTTAGAGTGCAGCTCTTAGACACCCGTTTCCAGCTCAAGCGGCGGCGGCGCCAACAGCGCCGGCATAACTGCGCACTGCGTTATGAGTATGGCGTGTGACGTCACGAGGGTGAAATTTCCCCGCCGGCATCGGCGTAACCGCGTGTCGCATTATGAGTATAAGCGTGTGGCATGTGTGACGTCACACGTGACGTCACATAGATTCAGTGGAAAAATTTTCCCGCTAAATTTAGCAGAAAAATAGCGAGGAACTTTTCTCGCTAAATGGGAGGAGAGCAGGAGAGAAGGGGAGGGTACAGAGGGGAATATACCCTACCCTCCTCCTCGAGAGCCGTGCTCTAATTCGGCATTACAGAAAATTGTAAACGTCTTATTTTTTTTACGGCTTTTTATTGTGAAATCGCTCATTATCCCGAAATTTTTGGAATTGAGCGGAGTTGCCCTTTAAAGGGTGATTCCAGTCAATATTCTTTAATTTGGGATTACGACTGTTTTAGCGAAGACAGCAAATTAGAAGGTATCATTTTTTATTCTTTTTTTGATATTGTGTGCAGTTTTATAAATACCATGGCTCAAAGCTTTCTCTCGGGCATCTACAGCAAAACCGAAACTATCTGCCAGAGGGAATCCAACACTGATCATCAGTCGTGCGGCGGCAACGTGACGTCACAAGGGTGCTGCGCCAGTGTTCCTTGACTAAATGCTAACCCGTTTGCCGCCCACTAAAGATTAGCTGGTCGCATCTTTAAAATGGGTTTTAGAGGAGTATGCGGCTTCAATTTGACGTAATATTTCAGCTGTGATCCTATTTCGTGCCACTAATGCAATACCAGTCATTTATTTTGGTTTAGTTTTCGGTCATAGTTGTCCTTTAAAGGAAGATGCGAGTAAAAATACTGCAATACTTTGCCAAAAAATTGATTTTCGGTTTTATGTTTTATTATTGTTGAAACTTTTTCACTGGATCTATAAAAATAATAAGTGAAGGTTATGATCGTGAAATTAGTCAAATACACATTTGAAAACCTTCGGGCAAGCCAGAACGGCATGAATTTGAGCCATTTTTCTTTGCGTGGTTTTACAAGTTGCGATGTCGCCCATCACATTTACGTTGACAAGTATCTCCTCTCTATTGCAGTCTTCTGTAGTTATAACTTTTAAAGGAAATTTCTTAACGAAGTACTATTTTACGCAATGCAAAAGGGTATGTATGGGAACATTCAGACGCATTTTTCTCTGTGGAATTTTTGGCAGCATCTTCACAGTTTGTGCACATGAATGTCTGTTCTTAATACTGTCCTATCACAACCAAATTTGGCATGCATATACTTTAGAATATGTATAATGCAACTATCTAGCTTTGGTCAAAACGGTAATATATATATTTTTTTTTATATCTATGGAAAAATTTAAGAAACTTGTTAGCCCCTCGAAATGACATTTTTGCTATTATTTTATTATTAATTATTTTTAAAATGAAAGAAGTGTCGCGCACATTATTTTTGTTGTTCATTTCACTCGGTGATTTAAAAAAAGTGAACTAGTTTGTTTTACTAGGCTTTTTTAAGTGTGTTGCCATGCCTCATGTCTGCACAAGAGCATGGTTTCTTCTGCATGTACGTTGCATTGCAAACTTTAAGAAACATGCTATATCAAATCTAACACCAGATTTATGAAGAAAAGATTCGGCACTATAAACAAAAAATTTAATTTTAATATTGCAAATAATAAAAATATGTTTTCCCCAGGCGCACGTTCCTTTAAAGACAATAAAGTGCCTCGTGTTGCTCAACCTCCCGGGGATTTTTTACGGCATCTCTTCTAAACTTAACCGTGTTGCTCAACCTCCTTGTTGTTGTTTTTTTCAACGCATCTTTCTAAACTTCACGATGAACCAACCGGCCGCCCAGTCAACCACTCTGGCACTGTCTCTGACCAATCTCCACACTGCAAGCTTACCGAACTGAATGGAAGTTCTCCCATCCTCTCTCTCACCCCTCACTCAAACTCTCTCCGACACAAGGAAAGAAGCGGCGGGCTGCCTCACCCGTTTGTCGGTGTGGTGGATGACGAGGCAGAGGGAGGGCAGGATCTCCTTGATCGTGTCCAGGGGAGGGAGCGGGTCCGTGTCCCGGCACAGTTTCGCAATGACCCAGGTCACAATGCGCAGCAAGGACGGGGGCGTGCAGACCTCGACCAGGGACAGCAGGTGTTCCACCAGGTGCTGCTGGATCATGCAGTTCCGGATACGTAAACTGAAGGAACTGTCCTCTGGGCAGAGACGAGGACGCCTTTGTTTGGTCGCCGCCCGTAGAGCCTGCGTCGGCGGCGCAGGAGCGACGACGCCTGCGAGAACATACCGAGGACAATTCCCAGGGCCCACAGCGCTTGCCCGCACAAGTCTTGGTGCGGTGACCTGATGAGGGCCAGGAGAGAGGGTACTGCACCTGAAGAGACGAGCATTTGACGTCCCCTTTGTTGCGTGCTACACTAAAGGCCCCTCAAAACATGTACCACAGTGCTGCGCTGCAGACAAAGCGCTGACCTTGTCCTATATCGGCGTCGTATATCACTGTTCCGGTTCACGTGTAAACAGGACTTAAGGGAAAACACTGCTCTTTAAAGTAAAAAAAAAAATAAAAAAAAAACATATTTTTGAAAATTTGTTTTTGAAGATTGATTGATTCAAAAATGTAGTTAAATGGGTCATCTTGTCCCAAATTAATTCCATGAAATAAGTCCCTCATCTTGAAATATTGATTCGAAAATGTAGTTAAATGGGTCATGGGTCCGTGCGAGTGTTTGCTATTAATGCAGAATGGATTTTATTAGCCAATTTTTACGGAGATCTGCAACGTTTTAGGTGTAACATTAATATACAACAAAAAACCGACATCAAAAGCATTATGCCCAAAGGGAACCATATAGAAAGACTTCAGTTCTCCGGTAGTGTTTGAACTCACCATCTCGAGATGGTGAGCTGCTTCACTGACTGAGCAGGCGAGGGACGGCGTTGGTTGTCGACTCAAAGAACGACCCTTTTGCACAGCGTTTGAAGCCACACGGCCAGGCGCATTTGTGCCCCTCGCAGCTTCGAAAGCGTGTGGGTAGAGAGCCCAGATTGGAGGAGGGGGTCCATCTCAAATAGGGAGCGTTTGCAATTTAATGGCGGAGATTGGTGGCAAGTGGCATGCGCTGCGTTTTCACGTGGCACGAAGAAAAGAAGGCGGAAAAGCGGAGATGCTCGCAAACAACCCACGTGTCCAAAACGCGGCCCATAAACCACGTGACCCCAATCGAGCAGTTGGACACTCCCTGCAATGTAGGCTCCACGTGTACCAAAGTGACATTTCTCGACCCCGTAGCGCCTACAGTACTAGGAATTTTTTTATCGAAATTTGACGACACGGCTAGACCATATTAAGGTCGATCTTCAATCCTCTAAATACATTAAAGTTAGTTAAAACATTTTAGTTCATTAACTAACAAATTACCTAATTTCACCTTTTTCCTAGAGGCCGCCATGGCCATTAACACTTCCCCAGGGCTTAAATTACTCTATCTCACGTTTCCTTTTTTTAAAAATTTGGTGCAGCTAAAATAAAACAAACACCCTGTATATATGTATGTATGTATCTATGCATGTGTGTATATATATATACACATATATATATATATAAACATACTTTTTCAAGGTGAAGACCGTGAAGTGAAACGTGGGTCTTGCGAATCACAGATGAGCACCTCCAAGATGTTTTACGACCCTCGGTTAAACTTAATGTTAATGTTCACATCTTGGGCAAGCAATACTGAAGACTCAAGACAATACTGAGAGGGGGTTTGAGTGATCTTACATTACGTATGCCTGAATCAAGAGAACATGTTCACACGTAACTTATAGCACGTGACAGTTTTTTTTTTTTTTTTTAATCTTTTATTTCTGTGGCCAACCCTCCATTTCCTTTTTTCTGCGCAGCCCGCTCTGTCTCAACTTTCCAGCGATTTGGTCCGCCGCAGATGAAGGTTGCCGACCCTTGCAACATGGCGGGCAAGTGTTCCAAAATGCGTTTTTGGAGCGTCGGACCGAAAGAGAAAACACAGGAATGTGCAGGAAATGCGGAAAGACAGGGTAGCCAAACGCGCACAATCACTGGTTGAGGTCGGAGGGAAAAAAAACAAACATGGGCGCATCTCGAGGGTAAACAAACGCACAAAGAGCAGATGAACTTTCATGTTGCTATACACTCCGTGCGACGCGACTGGCACGCCGCCGCGCGGCCGGTACCGAAGGTAGGCAGTGAGCACGCCAGAGAAAACGAAACCGAAACCACGCCGCGTACGTTGGTACGCGTTGAAGTCGGAGTGGTGCTGTTGCGCTGGGTTCACAGCTTAATGACGCAGCCTGTGCTGCGTCATAAGTGCTTCAATAGTTATGCGTCGTATCTCGTGGAGACAAAGTTTCACAGTTTTTCACCTCGCAGATGTTTTGTGGGACAGCGACAAAGATGGAGCCGTGCCATACGACGCGAGAAATTTGGTGTCCCGATCATGTCTGCCACTGCGTCGACACGGCTGACATATTCTACACTGCCACTTTGCGCTCTGCGTTTGTTTTCGTACCAGTAACGCCTACATATGTCAGCGCCGATGGGACGAACTAAAATGCCATCCCACACTCGCGGGTATGCAGTGCCAATTTCGTTGGAGGAATGCCCTCCAAAGAAGTTTCGTCCCCATCGTACGAGTCGATGATAATTCCGGATAAATATGGCACGCAATCTGTACTTCACGAAGAAAGATTCGACCGGTAAAAAAAGTGACAAATATAAATCTAAAGAAAACAACCATGAAACTCGCAATCACTGGAGAATCGGCGTTTGAGTATGGAAGTTTATGTGGTGTGCTTTCTTTCTTGATCAGCCTCCTTTTGGATGTGGAAACACTGACACCCCGAGTTCTGTAGACAACAATATTTTTTCTCGGCTTTAGAGCCACCTATCGCAAAGTGGTTCGAACTGGAAGTACCGTCCACTGGTCCCTTCTTACCTGTAAAGTGTGCACCTGCCACGATGAGTGGTATTTTCTGACAGCCTTTGACGGTCAAAGCCAGTTCCCATTTAGTTACGCCGCCCAAACTAAATTTCCACCTGGTTTCGCTATGCCAACTATTTTTGTTATAATAAGTGTTGTGCCAAGTGACGGTCATGTCAAAGTACCTGTGGGCCGAAAATCAGCACCTCGCACAACAGGTTATTACACAACAGCTGACCGCAAAAGTCCTTGGCGGCCAAACCGTGTGTTGGCCGACAACTTTGTTTTCTCGGCTATGGAACCACCTTTCGTAAAGTTGTTTCAACTGGAAGTACAGTCCACTAGTCCCTTCCTACCTCTAAAGTCTCCGCCTCCCCCGACCAGTGGTATTCTCTTGACAGCCTTTTCATGGTCAAAACCGGTTCCCATTGAGCTACACCGCCCAAACCAAATTTTCACCTAATTTCCCTGTGCCACCTTTTTTTTTTTTTTTTTTTTTTTTTTTTTTTGTATATTAAGTGCTGTGTCATGTTACTGCCAAGTCCAAGCACCTGTGTGCCCAAATCTGCACTTTGCACAGCCCGTTATAACACAACATTTTGGGTCCAATATTGGATATACCGTACAGCTTTATTTCTTTATTCGTTAGAAACAACTTTCACACCTGCCGTCTTAATGAAACTTGGCACACTTCGTGCAGAAACGTAGTGTACATCTCACTCGCCTCCAATATCATCGTTCCAGCAGTCCTATGTTTACAGCGACGAGCGAAACAAATTTCCCACTCAGAGCAATTAAGGTGGCGGCCGTCTTGTTTTTCGGAAAATTTCTCCAACTCCTTTTTCGGCCGCAACTAGAGAAATTACCCCTAATAACGACTAAAACTCAATATATAAGAAGTGGAGAACAGCTAAATGCCCTCCTTAGGTCTGCTCCAGCACTCGTGCAACGTCACCCTCAACATATCGGCTCGAAAAGCAGAAGTTCCGACCGTGCGCGCTTCCGCCGCCACAGCTTGGCATGCGAAAAGGTGCCGCAGGCTGCTGAACGCACCTCACTGTCGAACGCCAGCTCCTCCGCTAGCGGCGCTGCGCGCGTTTTTCAAAGCGCCCCCTATAGTTCCCGCACGGAGTGTATACATGTTATACATGGCATCAAGGTTTTTTAGACGCTTGCCTATTATATATTTATTTATTTATTTCATTACCCTCAGGGCCCATCGGGCATTACAGAGGGGGTGGGTAGAATGGGTTTACAAAGTACAATGATCACTTCACAGTACAAAAAAATAGACAACAACAAAACAAAAGAAAAAGTATAATAAAAAAATTGCAGAGTTATAAAAGTACTCAATTATGGCTGCCTCGAAAGCAGAAACATCTTCAATCGCGGCGATGTGTGAGGGAAGGTGGTTCCACTCTGAACAAGTTTTTGGCAAGAACGAATAAAAAAAAAAAATGTTAGTGCTGCAATGAGGTATTGCAACTTTGTAGTGGTGATCAACCTGGGATGAAAGGTATGAAGGCTGTAAAAAGAGTTCCTGTTTGAGCGCTGGGTTATAAAAATATATTTTATGAAAAGGAGAAAGACGCGCAATTTTTCTTCGAAGCATTAGTTCAGGAATACCAGCATTAGATTTCATTAGTGACATGCTAGCAAGGTGGTAATAACTAAAGTTAATAAATTTGAAACTGAAAAATATGCAAGTGTCATAAGAAACTTTTAAATCAACCTAGAGCTTTCATTGATATCTCATCTTTGATTCCAGACCTTTCAGTTAACTGAGATATGTTTATTTTCTGATTTCAGTATTTCAATTTGTCTTTATCCTTCCCACAACCTTTGCAAATAAAACTTTAGATAGTATCATAACTAATTGGATCACGTGTTCTATAAAAGAAAAGAGCTCCAGAAGCAGTGTTGCTCCCTAAAGGTGCACTAAAGACGTTTCTGAGATCGTCTGTTCTTCACGGTAACTCATTCTGCGGGATCTTAGCATCCAAGAAATCGAAAAATTAAGCTCATGCGAAGCCTAATTCCCTACTAAAAATTAGAAGTGTGCGAATACCGAATAGCAGTTATCGAATCGAACACCGAATTGAATTAAGAAAAAAAAGCTGAATATCGAGTAGTGATTTTATTTGTAGGAATTTTTCTAAGTGTGCTGTGAATTTGCATCTTGTAAGGAACAAAAGCCCAAATGTATAAACGTTCTGAAGAAAAAAGGAAAAAAAATTGGCTGCTGATCGACGTTGGGCCAGAAAGATGTAATTTTATGGCGCAAACATAATCTATCTATCCCAAGCGTCACAAAAAACCCAAAGTTACAGCCATGTGTGCCTTTTTTTTTTTTCTCGTTAAAAGCATGACCTAACACCACGACATGTCCTTTTTATATATATTTATACATTTCAGAAAAGGGACACTTTGCAATATTTGGTCTCAATTTTAAAGGAGAAGAAGGGAACCCGGGATTTGGTTTTATATAAATGAACAGATAGGTGTTAAATCTGAGTACACAGGCTTAAACAATACGATATATAATCTGTAGTAAGAAAAAACATGTGGTTAGGTGGCGCAAGTCACCGTCCAACTGCCGCTATGCATCTATTCCTCCATCCATCTATTCTGTTTTAGAGAGCCTAGATTTCAAAGAGGGAGCAAGCAAAACTGAAACCACGGAGACGGCTCCTGCACAGATTGGTCGGAAGTGTACATGTATATTACGTTGTTGCGTGGAAAAAAGGCGAGCAAACGGAAGAGCGACAACACCTGCCCAATCGACGCACCCGTCTTTTCATCACCTACTCGCAGTTTGTATTTCAAACGTGGCTATCGAACGGTTGAAAACCCTTTCAAATCTAGGCACACTCTTTTTCCGTTCCGTTTCGAACCAGAATTTGCGGCTAGCGGTTCCGAAAGAATGATGACGACAAGTTGGCTGGTTTCATCGGTGTGGTTAACGTGGTTTTCTTTTGGTGACCTTGTAGTCGGCAATTCCTGTGAGTGTGTAAAGTGTGTTCTACATCGGCGCTTCAGTTTGAAATGAGGGGCTTTACTCGTGAAAAGAATTAGCCCTGGCGCGGAATTCCGGCCTCCCAACAATTCCTCTCTGGAAGCGGCGCAACTGGGATGTTTCGGTTGTGATTAAAGGTTTGACTGCATCACGATCATGAGTACATCTGCGTGCTATAAAATTTGTAGCGTCCGTTACTTCTTTTTTTTAACCTGTGCATTATATTTTTGTGGAATGGTAGCACCAAGAGGTGTTTCTCGCATGGTCTGTCGAACATCACGGCGCTAACATCGGGAGAAAGAACTGCTCTTTTGTCAGCTCCGCGCCAACTGTGCGTCTTTGGCCGAATATATTGAATATTCGAGTGACCGAATACTAGGAGTTTGATTCGCAAATCAAATTATTTGGGAATTTGCTATTCGATTTGAATTTGTATATTAGAGTATTCGTACATCCCTCCAAAAAATGAGATAGAAGTTTGAGCCATGCCCATTTCTGAGCGGAAAAATCTGGAGCACAGAATTCAGTGGAAGCGCCAGCGGTGTGACAGTGGGCGCACGTCAGCCAAACGCAAGCCGCTTTACCGAAACAGGTGGCTTGCGACTGGCCGACCCGCACCCGTCGTCACACCGCCAGCGCTTCCGCTGGATTCTGTGCTTCAGATTTTTCCGCTCAGAACGGGGCATGGCATGAACTTCTATCACATTTTTAGTAGGGAAATAGACGTCGCACAAGCATAATTTTTGTAATTTCTGGGATGCTAGGAGCTCGTAAGATAAGTTATCACCAAGAACAGACGATCTCAAAAACAATTTTTTGAGCTACCACAACTAGAAAAATTTTTGGGATCACCGGCCTTTACTCTTTCCGGTACACTATTTAGTATCGCGAAATTCAGAACAGTTATTGTGAAAACAGCAAGTAAAAATGATGCCAAAGCCAACATTCAAATACTACACCCGAGGTGTAATGTCAGGGGAAGGCAGGCTTGCAGGTCAAGTGGGCAGTCTACAAAATGGACTATGCCGAGCATTTGTCTTGTGCTGTTGCGCGGGTGCTGAAGCGAGCTTCCAAAGCATTCATTTCACACCATGAAACTGCTTGGAATCAACTGGGAACAAAGTCTACAGTCCAAAGAGTGAAACCCTGCCTTCCGCTGACGTCACTTTTTCATTGTTGCCAGTAGAGACCTTGAAAAACATGGTGAGGATCAAAATTGCAAATTCAATAACTTTACAGAAAAAAAAAAAATTTTTTGGCCCAATATGTAGGTTACTATTTCAGTTATGTTTGTTGGTAGGTTTAGCAAATTTCCAAACAAATTGGGGACTATGAAGAAAGTGCCGGAGTACCCCTTTAATGCAAAACTCTCTCCAACAGCTGGCAGCAAACAAAAAAAAAACAAAAACGGACTGCTACAGAATCCAAGTAACAAAATTGAAATATTCAAAACCCCCAAAAGTTTGAATTTTTATTTCTCATTAACAACGGTTGAAAAACTCCAGTAAGGACCCCTTTTCAAAAATCGTACAACTACAGTTGATGACAGGTTAAGAATGCTGTCTATGCTCCTCCAGGGTACAAATAGGGCATCGAGCATGCGCCGGAGGCGGAGCTTCTGCAACCTTCTACGCATCTACAGATGTCCACAAGTCCAAGGGCACCAAGAGGAGGGAAAAAAGCGACACCTACCTGCTTTTACAACTGCCTCTCTCTGTTGCGATGTGCCCTCTGCAATCTTCCTGATTATGTGTGCCGCTTCGTGCTGCAAAGAGGGGCTGTAAACGCACACGTTAGACAATGAGCCAAACGCCAGAAATTAACGCATCAGGCGATTTCCGGGGCGTGGGCACTCACTTGTCGTGCCGACACAGGGCCCGCACCAGGACGAGCAGGATCCCCGAGTGGATGATGTCGTCAATGGGAGGGGCAAAGTCATTCCAAAGAAGCCTCCTGAAGGACAGGAGAGAGCCAAGTTGTGAGACCACCTGGAACTATAGACCCTTTGTATGAAAGCGCCGAAAGGAGGCGCATTGCGTGTTTGCATCCCCGCAAATTTCCAGTCAAATTAAAAGACAAACAATCCCCACTATAGCACTGCTCTCCAGGCAGTTAGCTAAAGGACAAGTTGGCGAGTGATTTGTTGAATATACTTTTAATACTTCCAATCCCCTCGCATATGCTGAATAGCACCAACACAAGCACCTCGTTAAAGGGACACCGACACACCCCAAATTTTTTTTTTTTTTTTTGTTAGGCGGTTTATAATGGTGTTGGAATACTCTACTACCCAATTAATATTTTGATATACAGAGTCACATATTTTTTTTTTAATAAAGTCAAAAATGCAACTGCTCGAAACTGAAACCGAAACCCCCACACCGCACGGAGAAGTGGAGACAAGAGAGTGAGTGGCAGAAGTCACGTAACTACCCCTGACCGTGCAATTTTTTTTTTTCTCTTCTGGGTGCAGCAGACGAAATGCGTTGCGGGATTTACTTGCCATGGCGATTCCTTTGCAGTTATGTTTGTTCCGCTCGCTGTTCTGCACTTCAAGACGAGTTGTTTTGTACATTTAAGTGCTGGCAATCGGTAGTGAGTGCCCGTGGGGAATTCCCGTGATCGGCTCTGAAAAGAATACTCCCAAGATGTTGCGTGAAGAGCTGCCTCACATCTGAAAGTGGCATTGTGCGGCAGAGGCGTCAACAATGGAATCCCATACAATTTAGCTCAGCGACATATCGTCCACTACAATCGTTCTTTTCAGTGATAAATGTAAAAAAAAAATGTAAACATCGCAAAATGTTTGAAAAAAGAAATGGTATGCCCACACTAGGGATTGAATTCGTGCCCGTTGTGTAAAGCGGGACGTCTTTCCACTGAGCTACTGAAGGAACTCTCTTGTTTGTAGTAATGCATCCGGTCGACTGTATGTCGGAAAGTTTGCTGCCGATTTCCCTCCAGTACATGCACTCCTGGCATTAAGTCGGGCAGCACCACGCATTGGCCACATTCGCACCTAATAAAGAAACCGTACACGTGCGTATTCAACTCGATGTACATACTTTGTGCTTGACGTTTGAGTGAGTGATGTCTTCAGTCACGAGAAGGGACAACGGCTCGGCGACGTCTTCGTGCAATTGGCTTGCTGGTCGGGCATGTCGTGCGGGATGAAATCAATTCTTTTGATCGGTCCAAAATTTCTCTTTCGAAGGAAGACAGAATTTGCCGGTACCGTGAACAACAGTTCTGAGGTAGAGGTCCCACGCCCGTCGTCCGCTGCCACCCACGAGTCCCACGAAACTTGAAACGACGCCGTGGTGAGAATTACGCAGTTAACGCACAGAATGCTTCCAGTTGTCTGTGCAACCTTCTTTTTCAATCAACATATTTGCAGCTTTTTGGAAGCCACAAAAAATGGGTTTCATATTTTTTTTCTATTTTTAGTATTGACTGCGTGCCTTCAATGACCCACGACTTCGATTAAATTTGGTGGTCGCGTCTAAACCTTAGAAAACAGCCCGTGACCACGGAGAAGAGAGTGAGCACGACTCAAACCGGCCAGTTCTCGATCGGTAGTTTTCGGGCGGAAAGAAGCCGAATTTTGAGCCGCAAATTCTTCCTCAGGCGATGCCGAAAATTCAACGCGGCCTCCTTACCTGGAGGCGTTGGGAGCGGATATTAGCTACCGCACTCTGGCTGCTTGCTGAGCCTAGAGAGATCCCTCATATGTTTGTGCCAAATCTTTTTGGCACACCGACAAGCTTCTCAATGCCTGCTATCCCACCTAGCCTGCCCAGTGGGTCCCGTGCTCCGACGATGAACAAAAAAAGACCCAGCGAGTGTGCCGAACTGCTTACCTGAATGACTTTAGAGCGCTCAGCTGCAGGTTGGGGTCGTCGCTGCTGGCGTCGTGCACCATGGCCTGGAGGTCCCCGTCAGAGTGGCTGGCCTCCTCGCACATCCAGTCCACCTGGGACACGTTGCACTTGGGGACATGTTGCTCGATTTCCAATGCGAATTGAGCTGGGCGGAGAAGTATGTAACTCTGTGGAAAGGCACTCGCCATTTTCGATTCTAACAACAAAAAAAAAGATACCAGCTTGCTAATGAAATTGTCACCTTACAACCTTAAAAGGTAGAATTCATGTTTCAGTCATACAGCAGCACTTCACAAGAGATGTGCTGGTTCAAAGATGAGTGCTGCACCGAGTATGTTTGACCCGAATTTCTTTTGTATCTTCAACTTCTGAGTCTGTTTTACAATGAGCATAAAAGGGCTTGTGTAGAAGCTAAATCATGTCACCTCATACTACCTAAACATGCCAAAAGAAAACATCTGGCACCCTTTCACAACAGCCTGTGCTCTTGTGTTTCAGAGCAGAACTGCTTAAAGGGATACTGAACCAAAATTTCGAGCTCACTAAACAAGGCCGGGCGGATAGGCGGGAAGCTGTAAAACCAAAAAATATCACTCATACGGCGATATATCTAACGGATCGCCGTATTTTTCGGGAAAGAAGTGCGCGATCGAACCCGGCCGACGAGGCCAACGAGACAAGGCACGTCACGATTCCCATTCTCTCTCCTCCTCGCTACGTCCCGTCAAGCTAATGAACCGAAGCGAGGAGAGAAGCGAGGCCACTTCTCTTCATTCTCACATTCTCCCGGAGGACAGTTACGTCAAAGAACTCGCTTGGTCGCGTCCTTCTTTTCCAAAAGTATGGCCATCCGTGCGAGATATTGATTTACGAGTGATGTTTTTCGAGTTCGTAGCGTCCGGTTCAACACTTCTGCAGCCTTACTTCGCGAAATCCAAATTTCGGTTCAGTATCCCTTTAAGAAGAATGTCAGAGAATGCATAGACTCCCGAAAGGAAAAGGGTAGACGCATTATCTATGGCCCCTTTGCCCCCTTTTGGTCTTGGGAGAAAAGGTAATTAAGACTGCATCCAAGTCAAAAGGAAGAAGTTTCGGGCATTTCATCAGCCCCATGCAAAACGGGTTCAGGAACAATAGATCCTGTTTGCCGCAGGCTACACAAGGTGACAAGAAGCAGCTTATCAAACCTAACCACAGTCGTTACGACTTCATGTGAAAACGGGCAGCACGGCCCGACCAACCGAAATGGAAGACTGCTCGATAATCAGGGGGACGGAATCTTGTCAGCCACTAACTGACCCACTTCACCATTGAATGAACAGCAAAACCAAAGAGCTGACTGTTTTCAGTGATACCTAAAGAAGCTGTTCATTATTTTAACTCTTCCATCATCACTTCATCTTTCAAACGAGAAAATGTTTTGGATGCTCACTTTGAGGTGCATGTGGCTGTAGCGGCGCAATAAAGGAGATCTGAATTGTGAAAAACAGTAACTAAAATGAAAAGTAATTCTAAAATAATTTTATTACTTTTCAGAAGCAATTCTAATGTAATTACTTTCATTCTAAGGTCATTTGTAATGTAAAATTATATTGCCATACTTTTGAGGAAAGTAATTAGTGACATAATTGAATTATTTTAAGAAGTAATTTTCCCATCTTTAAACTGTACCGTGAAGGAGCCAGAGCAATTTTCAAGAAGAGGTAAAAAGGAAACTCTTAGTTTTGTAGTCTTTCTGTTTTATTTTTAATATATTGTTTGTAAGAGAAGCGAGCTCACAATAGGCAGGTCTCATGAAGTGTTCCACGCAAGCGTGACACAGTTAACCGGAGGCAGGCAGCAGTGTACGAAACAGCTCGTGCTGTCTCGTGCACTGCTCGCGTAGACCCGCAGCAGGGTTGTCGCGCATGCAGAAAGACTGCAGTTCGCCCGATGCATGCCGGCAGTGGTGGCGCAACGAAACTGGCTGGTGAGATCCGTCTATTACCTAACCTCAAAGAACAGGTGCACGGGGTCATCTTCGACAAACCCAGGCTTAGTACGAAAAGCATAGACAACTCTCGTTGGGAATTTTTTTCTGGCCTCTGGCACTGGAGCGTATGGTTGTCGTTACTATGGCCCGCATCTCATGCCTTAAAAAGCAACTTTTTTTTTTTTTCCTCCATGTCGTAAATGATTTTTGCCTTGACAGTCTTGCTGAACGGCCATTCAAAGCCTGAATCGTAGGCTTCAGGATAGATTTGTAGCTCGTATTCCAAATCGGTAAGATAGCATACAATGAATATGTTGTATCCACTCACGTCAGGTCGGGGTCTTTTAGGTTTCACCGTCCGATTGTTCTCTACTTTGTTTCCCAGAGCTGTGGATCCCTTAAGGTTCCAGCAGAATTCCTTTCCTTGGACATCAGGAGGCACCTGTTGCCGCGAGCTCCCTGAGGCGTTCGGCGGGCATTCGACACATGCTCTCGAGTGCCCAGCCTGGCACCCCTTCTCCACTTTGTCGGAGTAGCCAGCAGCTTCGCTCAGTCTGGCCTCTACAAGAGCAGGACCTTTGGCTTGCAACCTGGAGAAGTGTTCAAGAAGTGTCGCAGACTGAGCTTCCAGCTGGTCTTTGGACCTCCTTTCAGCTTCCCTAATGTCTTCCCGGCAATGGTTGAGGCTGGTGTGCAGACAGGACAAGTCGTCAGAAAGCTTGCCCAATGCATCCTTGATTTCATTGCTCGTCTGCTCGATACGGTCGTAACCCTGGTTAGCGCGGTCTGTGTCCGCTACGAGTGAAGCGGTGGGCACGCGGCAACCGCGTCTGCAGTGCCCCACAATCTCGCTCCTTGGCATGGACATGGAGCACCTGGGGCAAGACACGACGTGGAAGGTGCACTCGGTGTAGTGTTTCAGCAGACTGTGAAAGGGACCCACAAAGCTGCATCCATTGGGCTTGTTCCAGCAGGCCACCTTGGCAAGAAAAAAAAAAAGGAAAACATGTAGAACATGAGTTTGTTAATTAAAGTTGTGCTAAGAAAGTATGTGTCATTTCGGCATGCTTGAACCAAATCTTGACGTACTCTTAAGCCTTATGCTTTGGCTAGGCTCTCTGCATAATTCCAGTTCTCTAGAAATTAGTACCTTGAATAAACTGAAGGTGCTTTTCTAAGCATGCATAACTTTACAATGGTATCCAGAAATGCAAATCTGAAATCATATCAGGCGAAAAATTTAGTAGAGGAACTCCCGTGAAATAAATTGCTAGAAGTTGGACACTAATACATAGCTTCTAGATTACTGGCAATCGAGAGGAGTTGTGTTACTACTGGCATTTTGTTTTTATAAAGTTTCTAATGTTGATGTGCCCTTAGAGAGCAACTCCGGTTTATTTTCAATATTAAGAAAACAATGCAGTTCTTTTTAGTATTGCCTAAAAGGACCACATGCCAACATATTTTTATTGAACTCTGCCTAAAAGTTGATGAAACTGGCAAACAAAATCTGAGATGCATGAAGTTATTAAAATATACTAATCCTAGCGGGGGAGGCACAGCATAGCCAACAGCGCAATCAATAGCACTGTAATAGAGCAGCCCATCACGCGCCGTGCTCAGGGGGATTCGTTTGCTTGTTGTGTACTTCTTAAAGCAAAGATGTGTTTTAATAATAATAAAATAATAGGAGTAAAATGTGGCAAGTTTAGCCCCATGTTGCAGTACAAAAAGCTTTGTCTAAATTGAGAGCTAAAAAAATGATGCCGAAGTCACTGCTGTCGCTCCGCTGATTCTCGACAAAATGCGTAAGCATTTTGCGCAGAGGTTCCGACTCAGCGATGAATGGGAATGCCAACCTCGCAAAGGTTCGCATACAGTTGTTTTTTGGATAACCAGTCAGTTCTCTCAGGCATTGCCGGTCTCGGACGCAGCTACCAGAGTTTTCCTCGATCGTCACCAACTGCTGTCTTCGAAGAGCCAATCTTTCCCCTCAGACGTCTGCGGTTTCGCGCAAACGGTGTTGTCGCTGAACCTCCATTTTACGTTTAGGGGGAACAGTGCCGCGACCACACAAGAAAGGTCTGGTCTAGTCCAAACCACAATTGTCCAAACCAAAGATGACTGCGTACGCAAGGGCAATAAACGCTAACGCATTTAAAACATACTTTTGTGTAAGGCTCTTCACGATATTAGACACTTTTAAAAATCAATCATCTGCGTTAAGTCTTTATTTCAAACTCTTTTTGTTCACATTCAGACTATTGAAAAGCACAGCGAAAGAGAGTAAGTGTGCACCTGATTTCGTTACCCTACCACCTTCTCTTGCACAATCAAGTCTGTCTGCTATGGTCAGCGTCACCATGGCGACGAAGCATCTTCTTCATGGAGGAATGCGTGAATACAGCGTCTGAAACCAGCGATGGCAGATGCCATCTTTCAAATGTCGCCTTCTAAAGTGAACTTGGCACCGCTAGCCAAAGTCGGACACGCCATTGTGGAGGTCAAAGTTGAGGGTGGTTGCTTGACGGTTCCGACGAGGCTTGGTGCACGCTGGGGTTCGAGATTATATTAAAGCCTCCCCGAACAAAGCGCGGTCTGTTTGGAAGCCTAGCTTCCAGCCCAAGCTAGCATTGCTACATTCGTAGCAGACGTGCTACATTCGTAGCAGACGACATTCGGAAGATGCAACTGTAGCTGGCTTCAGACGCTGCATTCGCATCTATTGACATTGGGTGACCATAGCAGAGGGACTTTATTACACGAAAGACGGCAATGATGCGGCAAGATCAGGTGCATACTTGGGCTCTTTTGCCATGCTTTTCAAATGGACAGAATGTGAGCAAAAAGGGTTCAAAATAAAGATTAATGCAGATGGCTTATTTCCCCCCACACCTAATCGTCACTATATTGACGAGCTTTACACGAAGGCATGTTTATTTCTGGCCATCCAACAGCTGGTTTCTCTCTTTTGGAACATGAAACTAAAGAATGAAACAGCCAAAAACTTTAGTCCACACTTTAATGTTGTGTCAACACAGAACTATGTTACCATACCACCTCTCATAATTAGAAGCCAGAGCAAAGCTGAAGCTATAAGCGCAGGGATGTTGACTCAAACTTAGCTTCCACTGTACGAGTGCTTGGGTAAGGTACGACAGGACAAAATGGCTTGGAGGCCGCCGTCGTAACTTTAGCCTCGCTCGCACTCTTGGTGAAACCAAGCTATAGGTTTGGTGCTCTAAAGTAGTTGCTATATAAACAGCGAAACCCCTGGCTTAGTACTCTTGCACCACTGGTCAGATAGCTTCCCAATACAACAACTTCAATCGAAAGGTACTGACTTCCCAATGATTATGATTCACGCAACAAATATGATTTTGGCGCTCACCCGGCGCTTTCGGAGGTAGTTTTTTGAAAGATCGATTGGGAAGCAGTCGTCGTCGCCGAATGATTCTTCGTCGAGTGGACATGCGCTCCCCTGCCGAGCACACTCCCCGTGGCACTCAGGGCAGAGCGTGTGATTGCAAGACAGCCTGATGGCTCTCAGGGACAGCAGTCCACAGATGGCGCACGCGCTGTGTGCGGCGCGGGGCTCCAGGAAGGAGATGGGCCTCCAGTCCAGGGCGTCGGAGAATCCGGACACGCAGAAGGGCGTCATCTCGGATGTGCCGGCGTCAAGCCTCACCTCGTGTGTCTTCAATGAGTTGGCCAAACCTGCGGAATGGGAGGTTCTGGACATATCGATAAAACAAGTGGGTTAACGTTTCCCGACTTGCCAAGATACGGAGACATATATATACGGCAGAGTTATTTCTCCTTTAATTGAACCATGTTGCACCCTGATGTCTTTAAGGCCTCAAAGAATCAATTTCACCACAAAAGTGTGGACTAGTCGAAACTGAATGAGGAAAAAGATCACCCTAAAAGATTATTAAAAAATTACTCGTAGTGTAACATTTCAGTTAAAGATAAAGTCTCTCTCTCCTTCCATTTCTACACCCGGTAGTTTATTTCACCTTTAAACATAATTTTTGTAAAATGCATACTTCGGCAAAACTCACTCACGAGTGCACTCATTCACCTCACTCACCCTCACCGATCAGGCGTGAGGTGAGGGTGAGTATATATTAATTTTTGAAGTATTATTACAGTTTTATTATAGAACTAATAAAACATTCCTTTTTTTTCTTTTTGCTTTAAGCTTATCTCGACGTAGGTGTGGCGCAATTCTCAGGAAAAATGGCGTTTTGGCGCAAGACGTAGCAGACCTTTGTTCATGGCACAATTTGGTGCAAATAGTGCAGCCCTTCCATCAACGATCTAGTCAGGCTCCTGTAAATATTGTAAATAAATATAGATAAAAAAAAAGCCGCTAAATATATGTAAGAACCAGTGCATAGCACATGGCTTTAACATATGCAGGTCAATCGAGCATTGATCTGTGTAGTACAACCTGCGACTACAGGTTTTCCCGCTCATTTTAATCCAAGCGACGACCAATTTAATCCCGGGGTCACTCAGTTTAATCCAAGCGCCATACAATTTAATCCAAGCGCCACACAATTTAATCCCGGGGTCAGTCAATTTAATCCACAATATATATATATATATATATATATATATGCACTCATTGGGGGTGTTCAGTGGTCGTGTTTCACTTACACATTTGGTAACTTAGAACAATTGTTTATACAATTAGAATTTTTGGGGGGCAATTGAGAATTTGATCACTAATGTGATTACTTTGAGTTACTAGTCCCATTATTGACGAGGCTTAACTGATATGTTGGTTACTCTTTTTAGAGCGCAGCTCTTAGGCACCCGTTTCCAACTTAAGCGGCGTCGGCGTCGCCATCGCCGTCGGCGTAACCACGGGGTGAATGATGGGTAAATTCCCCCGCTAAATTTAGCGGAAAAATTTCCCCGCTAAATCTAGCGGAAAACTTTTCCTGCTAAATCTATCGGAACATTTTCCCAGCTAGATTTAACGAAAAATTTGCCCCGCAGATTCTAGTGGACAATTTTCCCCGCTAAGTCTAGCAGAAAAGTTTCCCCGCTAAATCTAGTGTAAAATGTTTCCCGCTAAATTTAGAGGAAACTTTTTTTCCCGCTAAACCTAGCGGAATGTTTTCCCCGCTAAATCTAGCGGAAAATTTTCCCAGCTAGATTTAGCGAAAAATTTGCCCCGCAAAGCCTAGCGGAAACGTTTCCCCGCTAAATCTAGCGGAAAATTTTTCCCGCTAAATCTAGCGGAAAATTTTCCCCGCTAAATCTAGCGGAACAATTTACCAGCTAGATTTAGCGGAAAAGTTTCCCCGCTAAGTCTTGCGGAAAATTTTCCCAGCTAAATCTAGAGTAAAATTTTTCCCACTAAATTTAGCGGAAAATTTTTTCCCGCTAAATCTAGCGGAAAGTTTTCCCCGCTAAATCTAGCGGAAAATTTTCCCAACTAGACTTAGCGAAAAATTTGCCCAGCAAAGTCTAGCGGAAAAGTTTTCTCGCTAAATCTAGTAGAAAAATTTTCCCGCTAAACCTAGCGGAAAATTTTCCCCGCTAAATCTAGCGGAAAAATTTCACAGCTAGATTTAGCGGACAATTTTCTCCGCTAAGCCTAGAGGCAAATTTGCCCCGCTAAATCTAGTGTAAAATGTTTCCACTACAATTAGCGGGAAAATTTTCGCGCTAAATCTAGCAGAAAGTTTTCCCCGCTAAATCTAGCGGGAAATTTTTCCAGCTAGATTTAGCGAAAAATTTTCCCCGCAAAGTCCAGCGGAAAAGCTTCCCCCGCTAAATCTAATCGAAAATTTTTCCGGCTATATCTGGCGGAAAATTTTCCCCGCCAAATCTAGCGGAAAAATTTCCCAGCAAGATTTAGCAGAAAATTTGCCCTGCCAAGTCTAGCGGAAAAGTCTCCCCGCTTAATCTAGTGGAAAAGTTTTCCCGCTAAATCTAGCGGAAATTTTTACCCGCTAAATCTAGCGGAACAATTTACCAGCTACATTTAGCGGAAAATTTTCCCCGCTAAGTCTTGCGGAAACTTTTCCCCGCTAAATCTAGTGTAAAATTTTTCCCACCAAATTGAGCGAAAAATTTTTCCCGCTAAATCTAGCGTACAATTTTCCCCGCTAAATCTAGCGGAAACTTTTAGATTTAGCGGAAAATTTGCCCCGCCAGGTCTAGCAGAAAAGTTTCCCCGTTTAATCTAGTGGAAAATTTTTCCCGCTAAATCTAGCGGAAAATTTTCCCTGCTAAATCTAGTGTAAAATTTTTCCCACTAAATATAGCGGAAAATTTTTTCCCGCTAAATCTAGCGTAAAGTTTTCTCCCCTAAATCTAGCGGAAGATGTCCCCACTAGATTTAGCGGGGAAAATGTTTCGCTTAATCCAGCGGGGAAAATTTTCCGCTAGATTTAGCGGGAAACATTTTCTGCTAAAGTTAGCGGGGAAACTTTTCCGCTAGATTTAGCGGGGAAAATTTTCCGCAAATTTTAGTGGGAAAATTTTTCCGCTAAACAGCGAGAAAAATTTCCCACTAAATTTAGCGGGAAAAATTTTCCGCTACATTTAGCGGAGACATTTTTCCGCTAAATTTATCGGAGAAACTTTTACGCTAGATATAGCGGGGAAAAATTTCCTCTAGGCTTAGTGGGGCAAATTTTCCGCTAAATCTAGCTGGGAAGATTTTCCGCTAGATTTAACGGGGGAAATTGTCCGCTAAATATAGCGGGAAAAATTTTCCGCTAGATTTAGCGGAAAAAATTGACCGCTAAATTTAGCGGGACAATGTTCAGCTAGATTTAGCAGGAAAAACATTCCGCTAGATTTAGCTTATAAATTTTCCGCTAGATTTAGCGGGGAAGCTTTTCCGCTAGACTTTGCGGCGCAAATTTTCTGATAAATCTAGCTGGGAAAATTTTCCGCTAGATTTAGCGGGGGAAATATTCCACTAAATATAGCGGGGAATATTTTCTGCTAGATAGAGCGGGGAAAATTTTCCGCTAAATGTAGCAGGGAAAATGTTCCACCAGATTTAGCAGTAAAAATTTTCCGCTAGATTTAGCGAGGAAGCTTATCCCGCTCGACTTTGCGGGGCAAATTTTCCAATAAATCTAGCTGGAAAAATTTTCTGCTAGATTTAGCGGGGGAAATTTTCCGCTAAATTTAGCGGGACAGTGTTCTTCTAGATTTAGCAGGAAAAACATTCCGCTAGATTTAGCTTAAAAATTTTCCGCTAGATTTAGCGGGGAAGCTTTTCCGCTAGACTTTGCGGCGCAAATTTTCCGATAAATCTAGCTGGGAAAATTTTCCGCTAGATTTAGCGGGGGAAATATTCCACTAAATATAGCGGGGAATATTTTCCGCTAGATAGAGCGGGGAAAATTTTCCGCTAAAATTAGCGGGGAAAATGTTCCACTAGATTTAGCAGTAAAAATTTTCCGCTAGATTTAGCGGGAAAATTTTTCCGCTAGATTTAGCAGGGAAGCTTTTCCGCTAGACTTTGCGGGGCAAATTTTCCAATAAATCTAGCTGGGAAAATTTTCCGCTAGATTTAGCGGGGAAAATTTTCCGCTAAATATAGCGGGAAGAATTTTCCGCTAGATTTAGCGGGGAAAATTTACCGCTAAATTTAGCGGGGAAAATGTTCCGCTAGATTTAGCAGGGAAAATTTCCCGCTAGATTTAGCGGGGAAATTTTCTGCTAAATTTAGCGGGGGAATTTGCCCATCATGCACCGCGTGGTTACGCCGACGCCGCTTAAGCCGGAAACGGGTGCCTAAGAGCTGCACTGTAAAGAGTAACCAACATATCAATTAAGCCTCGTCAATAGTGGGACTAGTAACTCAAAGTAATCACATTAGTGATCAAATTCTCAATTGCCCCCCAAAAATTCAAATTGTATAAACAATTATTCTAAGTTACCAAATGTGTAAGCAAAACACGACCACTGAACACAATAAGTCCATATATATATTGTGGATTAAATTGACTGACCCCGGAATTAAATTGTGTGGCGCTTGGATTAAATTGTATGGCGCTTGGATTAAATTGAGTGACCTCGGGATTAAATTGGTCGTCGCTTGGATTAAAATGAGCGGGAAAACCTGTGGTATTATGTAAAAACATTACGTGCTCTTGCTTCTTTGTCCGCTTGCACTTTCCAGGACACGCCTTAACCACGACTCTGCGACAACCTCGACATTGTTCATTGTAATTGTATATCCCCTTAATCGCTTTTTTAGTGCAGCTGTAAGAAAAAGAATTGCCATAAAAGCAAACATTAGCACAACTTTACTAAAACTACTGCATACTTCAGGTGTAACAAGAGAAAAGAATAACAATACAATTCTTCGCCTATAGGTCAAGTTGCAAAATATTACAAAATATTAATGGAACATTTATAAATAATAAAGTTTCCTTTCATTTCAAAAGTAATATTCTTTTCTCTTTTTTTTTTGATTTTGCAGTGTTTTTTATCTTTGGATGCCCAGTATTGCTCAGGAGCAACAACTCAAGAATGATTTAATTTCTCCCGCGCCATGTCCGCCTCAATACATTTAGTGCCCTGTATTGCCAGGGCAAGGATACTTACACCTAGGAGTGAAGAATCGAACTGCATCTATAAAACAGACCACTTGTCCTTTAAAACCAGAGCTGACAGTGGATATGAGGTAGGATGGCATGCACCACAGACCTCAAAACTCCGAGGAGAGAAACAGGCACAAATATTGCAAATCCAGTTACAAGAGTTTCTACTGTGTGATATGAACCTTTTTCCAGTAAGCTCCTGCATATGCATACACCCCCTCTCTCCTGGCCTTGCTTCCTGCTGTCACCAATTTTGCAGGGCAAAGTTCAGGTCGAACAACATATTCGGCACCTATTTTTTGCGTGTTATTCGTATTTTTTTTGTTTTTTTTGTCATAAAAGGCAACAAAGATCAATGCGACAGCACGACGATAATGTATCTTGACGGGTGGAAGCAAGTTGGGCTGCCCTTCATTTGCAAATCAAAGAAAAACTCCGCAGACGGTGCTCGATACTGAAAAAAAGGTCCATTCGAAGTGCAGCCGTGCCCTTTCGCAGGTCACCTTCGTAAATGGCCAACAAGCATCGCACTGTTTTAAATATATACACCCAACAATTCTTGCCGAAAAAGAGAGGGGGGGGGGGGGGGGGGGGGACATAGATAAAGCCCCTTGATAAAGGCGTATTTTACGAGTACTGCCCACCATTGCTGCGGAAACGTGCAAGACATGTGCCACGAGCGGGTGCTCCACCGCCATCTGCTTTTAAGGGCTGCTCGAGGCACAGGCTTCATGCACTGGCGCATTTGACGCTACTTGCAAGAGAAACGCAAATGCATCGAGGGGCTTTAGCATAGCGACATAACCGTGCACCCGGTCAACTCCAAGCACGCAGTCATGCCAAAAGTCACAAATTAGGAACACCATGGCCACCAATGTACTAAAAGAGAAATACTTGCCATACCACGTCCTGAACAATCCTCAAAACATGGTATAAAGGAGCAAGCACTTTTTGCACACCGAACGCGCGCAAAATTAAACTGGCATGAAAGTCTGAAAAAGCAGAACGCCGGCGACGGAATCTATTCGATCGGATTACGTCGTAGCCAGGCGTTTCGACGGCGTGCGCTGCAGAGCAAAATGTACACAATTGTTGCCGTGGGATTCCTATATATTTTTTTTTTTTAAAAAGGGCTGTTCATGACAATAATCTGCACGGATATACAAAAGCATCAAGGTCTAGTTCCTGCTGTATGTAGCATGTGGTAACCACCATGCACACACAGCATACTTAATCAGAAAGATAAATTCCATGTTAAAATACACCAGCTCAAACGGCGTGAGCTTGGTGTCGTGTTGGATGCACGACTGTATTCGCAACCCTCGTTCACCGAACAGTCGCAAAGTCCCGCTGCATGCTTGAATTTGTTACTCGCACCACCACTGGCGTGCCACTAAATGCGTTTCGGCAGCTCTACACTGCCCTAGTGTTACCGCGCCTGGAGTTTTCCACTCTGCCATCTGGCTGTGCCCCTCTGCCACTCTCGCCTCGCCAGCATGCAGCGGCGTGCTGCCTACACATATTACAGCCGCAGCACGCCTTTGACTTTACACCTTTCATATACACAGGCTACAACAGATGGCTTGCTGCAGCTTGCCTCAAGGCAGCCCCTTGCATCGAAGGTGCAGGCGGACACCATCTGCCCGCTTTGTCGACTCCTGGCTCCTGGTCACCAAGAACTATGGGATGCTCTCTGCCTCAACAACTGCACAGTCTACCTCCAGCCCCTCCTCACCCGAACAGCAAGGCATGGTTCTTCGTGGTTGCCTCGTGCTGTAGCACCGTAGCGACAGCTGCCCCCCAAACGTCACACAAACATTTCCCCCAATTGCCACGACCTTGGACCTATTCTGAAGGATTTGCAGCACATATAATGGATTCTGACACTACAACCCCCCCCCCTTTTTTTTTTCTTTTTAATTTAAGTTTTGCACGTGTATGTGCAATAATGGGCCCCAGGTTGGGACCGCAAGCCTTTGTGGTATGGGCATCACTGCCTTTTGCGACCAAGGAGGTTATAATAGGCAGGAGGTGGCGTCCCTATCCCCAATGCATGGAGCGAAGTGTAACGGAAGTAGGCGTGGCCACGAGCTGCAACGAGCATTTCTTGAACAAAGGGAAGCCTAGTGAGTGGGCGCCGCCATTAATTTCGGTGCAAACAACCGCGTTGCGATGACATTTCCGTGGCAACGCGACTGTGTGCACCGAAAGTAATGGCGGCACCCACTGTTATTTGAAACAGCGCTTAACGGGAGACTATTAAACCGGTATAGTCGGAATTGGATGAGATTATTATAAACGAACGCCTGGCTGCCCAGCAGAAAGTAAGTGACTAGAATTGAGACGCTCTAGAGCGCGCACCGTAAAGGATTTGGCGGTGCGCAACGCATTTTTTAAAAAACAGCAGCAGCAGATCGCACGAGCACGCATGCAAGCCAGGAGCGCACAGAACAATGGGCTCGCGCTTCCAGTTCTGACTTCGCTCGCACATAATGTGGAACTAAGTATAAACACTCACGCTGCAAAGCATTTGCATCGTGGACGCCCACGGCGGACGCCGACCGCATCGAAAGCTAGCCTCGTGAAGCACACGCCGAAGCAGATTAGAAAGCAGACGAACTGCCGGTGCGCTACCCCATCGGAACGGGTGCGCAAGGCAGTCTGGGATTAAACGCCTGTTCCGGCTTCACTCAGGCTGACGTCATGCCTGGTCCTGTCTGTTTAAACGTCCTTGTTTTGCGACCCTGTGTGCCTGGATCATCACCCCCAAAGTATGAATAAAGTATTAAGTACCACCTTCCCGCGTCATTAGTAAGTATTTCATCAATTGTTTTATTTGGAAAAGCACGAACTACTCACTTTTGTTAAGATTATGCAGAACTTTTATAACCAAGTTGCCTTGTTTGTTTGAATATTTTTTACTGAATCAATATTGTATGTCCACCCCCTCTGTAATGCCCCTGGGCCCTGAGTGTGTTGAAATAAATAAAAATAAATAAAGCACGTGGAGCGTTTTCAAGCGTCTCGTGGCTTCCTCTCGACGCCCGCGCAGAACTGTACTTCGTGTGCCCGTAGGTGCGAGCGAAGGAAGTATTCACGAGAGCGAGCTCGACGCGTTAAACGAGTCTGTAATGCACACGCGTTCGTGAAGTGAAAGCGTCCTTCAAGACAACACGTTTGTGGTTGTGGCGTCAGCTTCATCCCTATTTCGCGCATTTATGGTGAAACAGAGCTTCGGCGACGGTGCTGACGCTCTACAGACGCTTGAAACACGCGCCATGATTGCGCCATAGAGGTTAGGTTTTTAATCGTCTCACCTTCTCAATAAACGAAGTACCCCGAGAAAGCCGTGCGACGACAGCAACAGAACTGGCAGCACACCAACACGCCGACGGACGGCCAAACACTTGCCGCCAAAACAGCCAAAACGGCCAAAACGCCAAACTCGCCGTCGTCGCCGTTGCCCAACTGGATGGACAAATGAATATTGCCTATACCCTTTGTAGCGGGCGGTAGCCTGCGCCACCTAGCCTAAGAAAATGCTTTCCTCCCCTTTTAAAGGCTCACTGTACACCTCGCTCTTTCCACTTTTGCCCGCCTACTCCTTTCCTATTAAGTAGGAGATCGAACAGTCACGCCTCTAGCGGTACGCTTCAGCTGTGGGGACAACAAACCGGTTTTTGTAGCGTGAGCTACACTGGCCGAGGTTGAGCAGTTTTGCGTGGCTCCTGGAGAGCCGTGCTGCGCATGCCCGAGGAGCAGTGACGTAACACAGCGCATAGCTGGCGCGCCGGAGGTGGTATTGGCCGGAGCCGCCACCGCCGCGCGCTCCGCCGCCACCGCGCGCGCCTCGCCGGTCTGCGCATTCCAGAGGAGTGACGTCATAGCCGCGGCAGACGCACTGGCGCCGCCGCGTGCCCAACTGTGCGCCTCCGTTGCGCTGTAGCCAAGTCTGACGCTGCACCGGAGCCGACTGCCAGTCTAAAGGAAACTGTGAAATACAAATGTTTTTGGAAACATTTACGAACTTCAAGACTTTATTTGTTCCACAAAAATAATAACAATGTGACAGAAGTGAGATGAAATGGTACTAACAAAAGCATTTCTGTCTTCAGTCCAAAAACAAACTGAGAAACTGATGAAACATTTTTTTCATCCCTTTTTTTTTTAGGAGAACAAGCATTTAGAGGTGTTTAGATGTAACGCTGCATTCACACTAGTGGTTGAACCACGTTAGCAAAGTGGTCGCAAACGCGGCTGCTTAAAGATCCAGTAAAATTTCACGCACATTGGACAATGAAAAAGAGCAGATCAGCTTTGCAGTTGCGATTTGAATGCCAGTGTGAATGCACCTTTACACCGACTGAAAAATTGTGCGTGGCCCCATTTGACACCCTGGCACATGCAATCCTAAATAGTAACTTCAAATTCTAATAATTGGTTTCACGACTGACCTGATTTTTAAGTATTAAAACTGGTTCAATGCTATTCTCTTTTGAATTTTTTTTATTGCAATTGCACATGCTCATTTGTGTTCAAGTTTTAGGATGGTTAAGCATATTCTCACGTGTCCTCGGCACTGGTAAGGGCACGGGCGACAGCATGAAAAGTTTTTCTAAGAAACCACGCGCTCAAGCCCGTGCCAGCGCTGAACACAACTTCCGAGACAAGTTGTCATTCCAGGAGATACAAGAGTCTTTGTTTCTGTGTTATTGTGCGGCCAACCCAGGGCTGCCGAGATTTACAAGGTCTGTTAGCTGTTCCTATTTTCACAGCACAAATCGCACCGGGCTCGTCACGCAGGCTTCTTGGGCAGGACTGATGGCAAATGTTCCAAAACGTGCCATGTCTCGAGCCTCTTTCTAGTCTGAACGTGCCTGGCCTTACTCTGAAATCAAGTGTCTGCGAATGCGTATTCGCGTACTGCAACTGAGGGCAAAGGACATATAGCTGGCATTTGTGAGGCTTCTCGCCCGTGTGTCTGAATAATGCAAGCACTCAAAATTTCGATCCGAGCGAAGACCTCACACTTATAGAGCCTCATATCTTCAGTGCGTCTGAATGTGTACTCTCAAATACCCACTCGAAGTAAAGGCTCACGGACATCGTTGGAAAGGTCTTTCGACCGGAAAGGTCTTTCGACCCGACTGTGAATATCGAGAGTTGTGATTCGAGCAAACAACCTCTGACAGCGCTCGCACTTGTAAGGAGGCCCCCCACCTGTGCACGCTCGCATGTGAACCCTGCAGTTATACCCCCAAGAGTAGGCCCTTGGAATTACAAAGCATACGAAGGGCTCATATTGTCCGTGTCTGTTTGCTGGCAAGAGTGAGGTGTCTGATTCACGTGTGCGTGGGCACGACTAAACGTCACGGGGCAAGGCCTCCATTCGATTATCTTTTCACCGGTCTCTGTTTGCAGCTCGCTGTTCTGTGGGATGCTTCCGGACGCGGAAAACGCTTCCTTCTCGTGGATCACGACATGGCGTTTCAGGTCCTCTGCTTTAGGGAACGGCTCCAAACAGTACAGGCACTTAAGTTCTTGTACGTTGCAGTGATTGACCAGGTGGCAGGTCATGCATGCGCTGATCTTTGGTGACATAGGTGCAAGAACAGCACTTAAACAGGATCTCTTTGGTGGAGTCGAGTGGAGCGCTGACGTCCTTGGTGTGTTTGTCGCCGTCACCTACAAGCATTCCTGCATCAATTGCGCCGCATTTCCATAAAACAATATTTTCTGGAACAAAGCATGACAGACAACATGTTCAACGGCCTTGCTGCACGCATGCATCTGGACATGCATTTTCAGAGGTACAGTGATAAAAATCCTGGGGGCATTTCTGGCATTTGTAATGCTCATTGTGTATGTGTGTTCGGACACAAACATTCAAGTTTGTGATCAGAGAAAAGACTTTGGGACAAGGCTTCGTATTCTCACGTGAACCACATAAAGTCACACTCTCGAAGGACATTGTTGGCATCCCTGTTTTCCACCTTTGCACTCTTTAGCCCCCTTAAAAAAATTCTGCAAAAAACATTGATTTATGAGAAATTACATATTTACATCCATCTACATCTAGAGTATTCCCAGAAATTTTCACTAGTTTACACTGCATAGTTAAGTTTTAATAAATTATTTTCTGTCCACCGAAGCTAAAGAAAAGGTAGGGTTTGGAGCACTTTGAACACATTTTTCTTTGTTCCACTTTTTGGTATAAATTCCATTTTAGTCAATCTATCGTATGATAATGGCAATACAGAAAAGGCTCGTTGTTCACCTTTCCTGACTGAAATTTAGTAAGGAATGCGCCTATGGAGTTTGTTTGTCACTTTACGGATGTCTTTTATAAAAAATGTTGACATTTTGTCGGAGACACGGAAGATCAAAAAGTTGACCAATTTTGCAGACGAGAAAATTGATAGAAATCAATGACTTTTTACAAAAAACTTTCCATAGGTGCACCTCCTAGGCATTCTGCTACATATCTAGTGAATACAAATCTTGAATATTGTGATAGTTTTCCGATGATAGATTAACTAAACAAAGGGTGTTGCTGATAGAAGCTGCTTTAATTTCCTTCCCACTTAACCGAGAGGCCTGAAATTTTGTTATGCACCCCCCTAGCATGACCACCAGCCCAACCTGTAAATTTCATTAATTTTAAGCCAAGGGTTCAAAAGTTGACCCTCTCAGAGGGTGTCTCCCCTTAACATGACTGCATGGAGAAAATGGCATGGAGCAAGGCTTGCATTTGTAAGGCTTTTCACCAGTGTGCGTACGCAACTCTCTGTTTCGTGGGATGCTTCTGGACAAATGGCGCGCAAAAGATGCTTCCTTCTCGTAAATCTCAATGTGGCATATCGGGTCCTCGGCTCTGTACGAAGCAGCACGCATCAGCCAGAATGGCGATTCGAAATGCCTGCTTTTTTACTCGCTCGTGCCCCCCTGTCCGTCATGCCTTTCTCTTCTTCCAGTGGTGCCATCGTTGGCTAGCTGCTACATCTCCTTTCTCAGAAGAAAAAAACGAGTTTAGAGATCTGTGTAAGTCTAAGTATTGTGGTCATGTCCATATCGTTGTGGTGGCCTTCTATCCCTTGTTCCTCTTCGAAGCAGCGGGCGCGGCTCAGACTCAACTTGGCCATCGTTTACTGGCTCTGTAGCCTCGGAGGTCGTCTTTAGGGGGGTTTGTGCCACTGGTCTTAAGTGTTCGCGTGTCCTCCGAAGCACCCTTCTGGGGTCTGAATATTGTAGGATCTTGATGGCCCACTACTATGGCAGGTGACCACGCATGCTTGAGGCTGTTGTAGACGGTACTTCGAGAACCTGTTTCAATATCTGCTAGTGCTCGAGAGGACTTGTCATAGCTAGCCTTCTGTTGTTGCCTTATTTTTGTGAGGCGTTGTGTGACGGTTTTGGGCGGCACGATAACAGGTAGGTAATGTTCAAGCCTGGCGGGCAACAGTGTTCTTGTATGTCGGCTCATCAGTCTTTGTACTGGTGATTGGAGGACCTCGTCTCGTGGAGTGTTGCGCCATTCAAGATGTGCATAGTAAAACACTTTCTCAGCAATTGTTTCGCCTGCCTCACGGCTCGTTCGGCCATGCCATTTGATCGGGCATGGTAAAGGCTTGAAGTTACTTCCTCGATCTTCAAGTTTTTCAGGAACTGTTTGAAGTCATGGCTCCCAAACGGCGGGCCATTATCACTTAAAAGTTTCGAAGGGAGTCCGTGTGTTGCAAAGGCCTTCAACCAAAACTCTTTGACTTTGGAAGCTGTGGTGGTTTTCATTTCTTCAACTTCGAAGTAAAATGAGTAGAAGTCCACCATGATTATGAAATCCCGTCCTTCATGAGTAAAGAAATCCACACTAACATACTGCCAAGGCAGTGTTGGCACCGAGTGGCATCTTGACATTTCTTGGCTTGTACTTTTGACATATGCTGCACTTGTCGTACTTGCCCTCGATGTCAGCGTTGATTCCTGGCCAAAACAGGATATCTTGAGCTCTTCTTTTCATCTTCTGCGTGTGCTGCGTGCAGCAGGCCTGATCTTGTGCCTAGTAGCTGTAGGTATGACTAGCTTGTTGGATCGGAGTACAAGTCCATCTTCTTCATGAATTTCCTCCCGGTATGACCAAAAAGGCCTTCCAAGTTGCGGCACTTGGTCTTTCTCTTCCAGCCATGCAGTCCGCGCATACTGACGCAGCAGTTGCAGTTGTGCGTCAGTTGCGGTTGCCTCTCGGATTTCTTGAAGGCGGTCTTGAGTAATTGATATGTGCTCTAGCGCGTTTACGTGGAACTTTTCCTCTTCTTTTAGTGTTTCCTTAGCGGGAAAACGTGAAAGTGCGTCTGCTAGCAGCAGTTCTTTCCCAGGTATATGCTTCACTTGCAACGAGTATTTCTGGAGAGCCATCTTCATTCGTTGTAGTCTCATTGGACACTGATGCAGTGGTTTGGTGAAAATAGCTTGC